ATAATTCTGGCATTGTCTTTTCCTACAGTATTATCGAAACCATGATTCATTACAAAAAGCAAAGATATACGTAAATATGTTTTAAGAAATGATATGAATAAAAGTAGATGTATGATAAAATGTTATCAATGATACAGAAAATACTTTTATTACATACTTTTTTGAAAATTACTTATGTTAAGAAATCTCAAATACACAAAATGCATCTATTTGATACCAACAAGTACATATGAAATAAAACCTTACATAGGCGCGACCGACGAAGAGAAAGGGGACAAGTGATGAGAGTTTATGGGGTGATATATTGGATATGGTAGTGTCATCAGCGTCCTTCTAGTATTCTAAATCGTCAAAATTGGTTTATTAAACCAACATGAACATTATGAGTCATAAATTATGTTACGCTTAAGATATATATACAAACAGGGGAAACTGTTGATGATGCATACTTAGCAACATATGCTTACTCTGTGGACTTACGTAGCTTCGCTATATCTGGAATTCGTGCAAATCTGATTGTTTGCATGTTTATACTTTGACTGTAATTTTTATGCTGATTTCTGTAAATGCCCCTTATATCGAAACTGTTTATGTCTTGGCTTTATTGTTTTAGGTATTGATTTTCAACAATGATAATACGAAAAATACCTTCTTTAACAAAATTTTGTGTTTTGAAATCATTCGCTTTATCCTGAAGGTACAAAGGATTAAACCATTCAAAAAGAGAGTAATATAGCCCTACTCTCATACACTGTTTCCGCAATGAAGCAAACAGTTCTCCTACAAAAACGGAAATTAGATTTTTTAAAAGACGTTCACTGAACCATTTATCAAATCTTCAGAATGCTATTGTATCTAAATATTTTTCATTGTGATAGTTTGAAATATTTAATAATAGTATCTAATACAGAATTAAAAATAAAAAAAAAATGTTTGCTGTTGAATTATTTAAGAAAAGATTATAATCTTTCGCCTCTTTTTTATAAGCGATTTACTTTATAGTAGAGGGTACTTTACAACATTGTATTAATAATAATACATGCCAACTATGTCCCTTTTAGGACTTACAGCATGTGTATTCCGATTGAAGGTAGAAGCCAATGGCCAGTTAGTGAAACCGGCATGATGTTTTGTTGTAAAAACAACATAGCTGCAGAAAAAAAGAATTATGTATGGTACAATATTAATAAGACATTCTTAAAATTCTTAATAAATAGGGAAAAAAACGAACAGCTTACTATTCTCAATTTTCATGACTATCTAAAACTACTGAATTGTTAAATGACGTAAAAGAAAGAGAGAGTCTTTTTTGTTTCTTATTATTAGCGATGACCTTCATGCCTAACGTTTTACTTGGCTTTCTTGCATTTTTGATTTGTAGATGACATAAAAAAAGAACTCGTTAATCAAATTCAATCAACATCGCAGTATCAAGAACATTTTCCAGAATCAAATGAGATATGAATACACGAAAATTAACAATAGGTAAATCAGTAAATCAAAGAGCTTGAATTTATCTGAAATCCATTTGCATTTATACGGACCGTTATTCATAACGACATTTAACCCGTTCAGTGTGAGCCCTCTCATTGTCTTTGAATTCATATTGTATACTATAATACACTATTTTCCGTTTTAAATCGACATAAATATTTTGCAAATTATTGCTTTTTTATGTTGATGGGTTTTTGTTGGATACTGCATTTATTATAGCGCATCCTTGACTTTTGGCAAAAATTCGAAATCTAATAATTAATGCGATCACAAACATTTTATGGTGGAAAATCACTATTGAAATTATGAATGCGAAGTTTCATTGTTGCGAACTTGAAAGTTTCTCATTTTTTGCATTAATAAAAACATCGTAATAATTACTGACTTTTGGTATAACGAATATAACTTTACACGTAATTTATAGATTCGAATTTTTTTATTGATGGCTTAAATATATATCTTTCTCTTGATTAGTAGTAAATAGTCAAAAGTTTGAGCGTTCATGTGATACTGATTCTTCTTCTACTACGTACCTTGCCCCGCAGTTTGTTACAAATTAACCCATTCGTCAGTATTCTAGATATCTGTCGTCAGCATAGGAGCAAAATCTTGGTAGGTGAATACAGGTCTATAATTCCTTTTCATAAATTTGATATACGTTGGCTCCTTCTTTTCCTGCCAATTGTACCAAAACCGTTCATTATAAACAATCGGTACAGAATATACTCCCCATGAAACAAGAATTCCAATTTTTACGCTGTCGTACCAGGCTGGGAGTGGTCTAGTGTCCAGTGCTTCCCAATTAGCAGGATAAATTTGGTCTTTTATTTGTACAGAATCAATGTTCGATTCGTCGTCTGCTTCATTTATTTTCCAAATCGTGTTTTCAAATCTGGAGTAGGAGGAAATAACAGAACCTAAATGCAACCAAACTATCAGGGTTAATGAATTCATTGTTTAATTTAGAATTTTATCTTGTTTACCGATACAGTAATATCATATTTAGCTGTCCATTTACTTATCGTTCACCTTCATTATCATTGTTAACTATCTAGGATCAATAGCCATATACATGTATAACAAAATTTCTTTTGTTATTTCATATTAAATCAAATGTTAGTTAAATGCAAAATACAGATTTAAGTTTCAGCTTTTACTTCACGTGTTTTGTTTTCCAATCCCCAATAATGTATTTAGGACTTTCAATAGAGCAGGACATGTATGATTCAAACTGTCCTAATTTGAATAAATGATATATTGAATGTACAAGCGCCACCAAGAAAAGTAAGAATACTATAAAAAAATACTTTTCCTTTGATACGCTGTTATTTCATATACATGTACATCTACTTATTATAGAATTCTTGGTAAGTTTTACGTTATCTATACATCTACTTAATATATAATTCTTGGTAAGTTGTTCGTTATCTGTACATTATAATTCTTATTCAAGCAAGTTTTCCACATTTTTTTTTATCAAGGATTTACTATTACGTAATAATTCAGTAGTTTAACAATACTTGTTTTCTGTTCATTCTACTGAAAAGGAAAACCTGATAATATCATAAGTTTCATCTACAGTGCGCAATGAAAGTAGATAAGAAGGATGTTGTTGAATTTGATATGAAAACTCATCACAGATACAGGCTTATAATTTGGTACGCCAGACGTGCGTTTCGTCTACACAAGACTCATCAGAGAAGGTCAAATGAAATACGAAGTTGAAGAGCATTAAAAACCTAAAATTCCGAAAAGTTGTGCCAATTACGGATAAGGCATTTTTTTCCTGGGGGTAGAAAAACCTTAGTTTTAGAATTATAATTTTTTTTATTAACTCTAACAATTACAGAAAATGAACATATCAAAGATATGTCATGTCAACACACAAGTGCTGACATCAGGGCTGGTGATATCCTCGAGGAGGAAACGTCCAACAGCAGTGGCATCGATCCAATGGTTGTAAAAACTCATCAAACAAACCAGGCTTCAACTTTGTTCTACAGTAACAACCGTCTTTAATTTCAAATAGGCAATAAAACACTACAAGAGAAACACCCTAGGTACATTTGTGCATGTTTGTTGTTTGTGTATTAGACGGTTTCTGAGAACCTGTTTCCTGAATGTTTCTATTTTTGACATTTTTACCTATTATGTCTGTTTGTTTTGCTCACACATTGTTATCAGTATAATGGAATTATATGCGACTGACATACAAGTGAGAGGTTTAGCTAGCTATAAAACCAGGTTTAATCCACTATTTTTCTACATAAGGAAATGTCTGTACCAAGTCAGGAATATGACAGTTGTTTTCCATTCGTTTGAAGTGTTTGAGCTTTTGATTATGCCATTTGATAAATTAAATTTGAATTTTCCTTGGATTTCGGTATTTTTGTTATTTTACTTTTTTCTATTATATTCCAGCGTGGTGGTCGTTTCTAATTTTCGGATTGGCAACAAAAATGCAATATAGTATAGGATTACTCTATTATCTTCAAATGGGATAAGCAGCAAAAACTTGAAATTAGTAAAGGACCACTACAATATAACAAAAACATAAATGTGAGAGACGTTTACAAATTTCGATTGAGGCATGCCGATGACAATACTTCACATGAACCTTTGACATATTTCCTTTCAGAATCCGTCAAAATTTTGAAAATACCTCACCTTTAATAGTAATTATAGATCCATAAACTTAATACTTAATTTGACTTAACTTCGGATTATTTTTTAAGCGCAGTACGGAAATACTGTGTGTCGACTTGTTATTCGGAGTTTTTATGTTTCTAAAACACAAAAGCTGTTAATCTTTGATCAATCGTAAAAAGGCCTATTTCGAAATAGGACTTTGCGGACAAAAAGGTAAAGTATGTCAAAACGAAACGTATTGAGAAGTCAATAAACAATAAAACTGATCGATTTTCTTGGGCTTTTGTAATATTTTTTCTTTCTACTTTTGGTGAAACTGGGGGTATTTATATTCTTACGTCACTTCTTAAGTATAATCAGATTGAGGATATGCGGTATGATTTCAAATGAGACAACTATCAATTAGAGTCCAAATGACGTGGATATAAGCAACTACAGGTCACCGTACGGCCTTTAGCAATGAGCAACGCCCATACCGTATAATCAGATATGAAAAGCCCCGACATGACAAAATGTGAAACAATTCAAACGAAAAATCCAACGGCCTGATATATATAACAAAACACTTACAAAAAACAAATATGACATATTGAATGAGCTAGAAATCGACCCGAGAACATAGATCACACGAGCGTGCCGAGTGTAATAGTTCTTGTAGCTTTAATCTAATGTCACATTTTGTTTGTTTGTATTATTGGAAAGCCATTTTTGTTTGTGTAAATTTACAATATTTAACAGTTAAAAGCATTGTCTACATGTGAAATTAATACAGAAGTTATGTATTGCATTAATTAAAAAAGCTCCACTTAAATATAGCTATTAATTGAAGAAAACATCTACTTTTATTTGAAAGGCAATGACTGACATTGTAAAAATATACTCATCTGTGAAACAATATCAAGCAATCTATAAATCTATCAGTTAAGTATGAAACAGTTGGTCGAACTTTTAAACAAACATTCATTACTATTAAAACACATATACACTATTCTGCGTTTTGCAAACCTAATAATCTAAACACCCATGCCCATTGACATGGCATTTTATTATACGGTATATACGGAATAGTTATATTGATTCCTCCTTGTGGCGATGATGTCCACTGAAGTTGACCTTCTGTTCCAAGGAGATATACAAATGTCTGGTCTTGGACTGGAATTGGAGACCGGAGATATAAATATTTGTCTGGCCAATCTAGAGTTATAGCATATACGGCTTTGTTTGTCTTTATTTGCTGTTCAGTATACCTGTTTAAAATACAATCACGCTGTTAATGTAAATATACATGAAAAGGTGTTCACATCATTAATTGTCTTTTGGTCTCTAGTGGAAAGTAGTCTCATTGGCAATCATACTATATAACATTTATATGAAAAGGTGTTAAGACAACTTCCCTTATATGTTTCACTCAAGGGATCAAAATAGGAGAGTTTATTTGTAGAATTGAAATATTTAAGTGTCTAAAGATAAAATTTAAAGAATTTTTTTACATTTTCAATAATGGTACTGGCCTTAATCTCCGAAATAAAATGTAAGTGTAACCTCAATAAGTATGTGTCAGTAAGAATTCAATTTGTCTCTTATAGACGGGGAAACTCTGGAAAACAAATCTACAATTGGTTCAACACAGGCCGACGACTCAAAAAAAATGTAAAGACAAACTAACTGTATTAATACATTGACACTGTAATGAGACATCTTATCAAGTTTCTTTCAGACATTGACTCCTGTCTGGCCTAACGTCCACGTACTTAAATATGTTGAGAATGTTCCTACATGTTTCAGTAATACATTTATCGATATAACAATTTTCAGTAATCTCCTATGCAGCTGTTATACTGACATATCATTCACCCTTTAATTAAGGAGATGGTTTCATCAGTAATGTAGAAATTCTGTTTTCCAAATAGACAAATGCATTGTTTAGTTACAACCAATACTTACCATACTCGAGGAGTGAAGGTATCATTTTGGTATTTCCATGGAAAGGATCCGTATATGGCTTCAAAATTGACATGCAACCAACTACCCATTTGTGTTAATCTTTCTTGAAACAATGGCTGTATAGTACCATCGTATGATGGAGCGACATTAATTAAGATATTGCCACCACAACTAAAACAAACAAAATTCTTATCAATGCGAGCAATTTAATTTTTGTTAGGATTTACGTTGAAAAGTAATAATTTTTTTTATTATAAAAAATCAAGTTTCAATTAATCTTTTTGATCTATTCTACTCAGTCCCATATGTATATAAAAAATTTTATGAATTTGAATTTGACCGGAATTCTTTTTGCGATTTGTAAAATGTATGTGCTTTCAGAAGGACTTGATCCATTTGCAAATAAAAAATTTAAACATAAGACTTCAGTTATCTTTTTCAGTGCGATCATGGCTTTATATGTACATTGATGAAAATTTAGAATTTTACTTTAATAACAGCTATCATGATAAGAATAACTTTTTTTATTCAAAACATACACACCTTATGGTTTCAACAATGGAAGCAATAAGTTCTTCTATAGTGATGAATTCCTCTAACTTTGCATTCCTTCGAAATCCCCAAGACAGTTTATCAATGGTCATGGCATTCTCCCACTTTCTTTTTTGAAGTTTTCCTATATTAAAGCATTTAAATTCAAAATTTCTTTGATTGGTTTGCTTTCTTGATTTACAAAGACAAAAATTGTTTTTAATTGGTTTATTGTTTCGAAAAATATCAACTTGTCATTACGTTATTTGAAGGAAACTAAGAAATCCTTTTTTATTGGTGCTTTTATAATTAAACACTAGCTAGACATAAGGGTGTGTCCCAGTCATTTGATGTTTCTGTATCTTGATCTTTAATTGGTTTATTGTATTGAAGAAGAAACCTAATAACATAACGTTGATGTATCTTGTAAAAAAAAAATCAAAACTGGAGATTTTTTATCGACATTTTTATCGACGTTTTACATTGTTCCTGTTAATTGTCATGGTAGTTAAATTACACATTCCCCATTTTGGTAAGATTACAGCATTACCATTAAGGTACCAGTATTCTCTTAATAAGATAAAATATTAATGCAGAACTTTTACATCATGATGCAATATTTATATTGAATTGACTTGTTTGTTAATTACTGGAAGATGACTATTATAGAATATACCTATACTATACTTGATTATTGAACAGGAAACCTTACAATGTTTAAGAGAGCGATAACTTCTTCGAATCACAAGTTTTCACTTTCTCTAATAGATTCATGGTAAATTTTCCAAAGGCTTTTCTTCCAAAATGTGTATTTGAAAACATAAGCCGAAGAAGGGCACATCGATTTGTGTCGTAACGATTCCTGCTATTTAAATATAATACCTGGATTAAACCTATCTGTACAAGTCAGAAAACCTCCATGTTTACACATGGTATCTGTACCCCACCTATCGTTAGTAACAATTTCGTCTCTAACTGGACTTAAAATACAAAAAATGATTGATTAATAGACAGTTGTTTAAGTTTAAGCGAAAACACATTTCGTCCAATTTTAGGACAAACTCATGTTATTGTTAATATTACATAAAGATAATCCTGCATTGGAATAGACCGACATGTTGAATCGGTAGCATATAGGTAACACTCCGCAGGAAGACATGTCACTCTTTCCGGACACATAATTCTGACTGTGATCAGACTCTTCTTAAATCTAACTCATAAATGCTGCCTGTTATGCAGTCTTTGGTTTAATTTGGCCGGAAAAGAAGACAGAAATAGATTTTCTTGAAAGATATCAAGCAACTAAATAATGTACATTGAAAAATTAAACATAACTAAATAAATATTGCTATATATGTACAGTTATTCTACATCCTGTCGATATTTTGGCATTGCACAAGGTCATGTGTGTCTCAGACTATTTATGACGTCTATACACTAAACCCAATGGATTGATACTTTGTCTGGGAGAACATGATTTATTTTTATGCCCCACCTAGGGGCATTATGTTTTTCGGTTTGTGCGTCCGTTCGCCCGTCCGTCTGTCCGCTTCAGGTTTAAGTTTTTGGTCGCTTCAGGTTAAAGTTTTTGGTCAAAGTAGTTTTTGATGAAGTTGAAGTCCAATCAAATTGAAACTTAGTACACATGTTTTCTATGATATGATCTTTCTAATTTTAATGCCAAATTAGAGTTTTGACCCCAGATTCACTGTCCACTGAACATAGAAAATGATAGTGCGAGTGGGGCATCCGTGTACTATGGACACATTCTTGTTTAGTTGTAATTGGCTTTGAACTAGCTTTCACCAACTGCGAGTACTCTTATTTTGGTGCTTTTCGTCTATTGTTTTTAAGTTTGTGGTTTTTGTGCATCGTGCCGTTCTTTTGAGTTAAGCCAGTTGCAACTGATTTTTACAGTTTGTTCTGTTATGCTGTAACTGTGGTTCATGTCGGTCATATTTGTTTTCGTAAATTGTTTTTTTATAAATTAGGTCGTTAGTTTTCTCCTCTGAATTGTTTCACATTTTTCATGCCGTGGCCTTTTATAGCCGACTATACGTACGGTATGGGTTTTTTTCATTGTCGAAGGCCATACGGTTGCCTATAATTGCTTACTACAACTTCCTTTTAGCTCTGGCGGATAGTTGTCTCATTGGCAATCACTAAAATATCAATCAGTACACATCCAATGGATTAAGTGTAAAGACGTAATAAACAGTCAGAGAAAACATGATCTTGTGCAATGCCATAATATAGGTATCGAAAGAATGTAGGACCGTGAATGTTCATCACTGTTTAGAAATAATATTTAGTTATGTTTTAATTTATTGATAACAAAAGCAATATTTATAAAGATAAACATATCATTCAAAGATCTAATTACAGTGTGAAATTGATTACATTTTAGAATAAGTTTATTTAAAAGTCCTTAAAACACTAATATATAAGAAAACTAAAGAATAAGCAATGCGAACACAACAAAAAACCAAGAGTTGAACTAAAGTTCTCCTGGAGCGAAATCAATTCCGACTTCACTAGTTGCACCCATCCTATTGCTCATTGCAAGTAGAAATTCGATGATAATATATGTATTTTATGAGTTGGACCAATTCAAAAATTATTCATTCGTCGTAAATGACGCTACACCATCTTTGGAATTAGGTATTGACCAATGTTCAAAACCATGACGTAAAATAGGTATCCTTTGTGCTGCTTCAATCACTTCTGATAAGTGGCTACTGCACATACCACTTGAATACTCTGTGGTGTACAAAACGAATACTAGTATCCGCAAATATACATGTACCTGTAGTTATATAACCAAGCTAGAAATTCTGTAGCATTCCAATACGAGGACGTACCTGGACATCCATCAGACCATATTAAATCAGGTTTGTATTTATTAACTAATTCATAAAGTTCAGGCATAGTTTTAGTCTGAAAATTGATGAAATAAAATGAACTCATGTTGAAATAAAATACGTGTTGTGTACCTAGTAATAAATTACCGTTAAAAATTTTCTATTGTTGTTTCATAGGATGTTTACATAGAATGAATATTTTTTTATTTCTATTCTTTCAAATTTTTGTGTATGTTACTAAACGTTTATACTGCTATGTGTATATTTTTGTAAATTGTATTCTACTTCTAAAGATTTCTGACAAATAACTTTGCACAGCTATAAAAATATGCTGTTGTAACAATAATGAAATGGTAATGTATAGTAAACGATTGATAGTGAGCGCTCGTATGATGATTAATGTTTTTGTTGAAAAAATTGGTTCCTTACCTAATGGGAAATTAGTGTCAAAATATTACCTCTAAAATATCCCCTGTAAACACTGAAAACTTGATCTTTTCAATGTTTGTTCCGTTTTAGCAAGGACGCTATTAATTGTAAATTCACAAGAAAATGTTCTGGTAAATAGTAACAATAAAAAAGAATTGAAATAAAAACAAAGTCTCCATATATTGTTATCATTTCCCTTCTAAAATATCAAACGCCGACTACAGCAGGTTATAACAGCTTTGTGTAAAATTCAATTTAAATGTTGCTATGCACATAAATCCCTTGAGTACCTATTTCAACTAATTTTCTACTGGCTGTTTACCTCCCTAGAACATGCACATTATCCGTATATATATTGTGCTAGATAAGAAGTTCAGGGAAAAAAACCAAGAGAATCGATAATTCAAACAGACCTTATCCTGATGAAAACATTAAATGTGAATAGATCGAGCAGTCAGGATTCTACTTCGTCAAAATTATCTCCCCATTACGCCACCTTATTTTTATAATCGTAAAAATGAAAGCCATTGTAGTGATGACGCGCTGTCAATTTAGCTCTTGAAAACCGATAAATTTATCTACATAGCATCATAACGATCCTTATATGCCAGTTGTATTTTAAAAGACAAATGTATCTACGGTAGCTATTTAACATCATTTAATGTACTTTTATGCATTTGCATGGTCATCTTAAAACTATTGTCTGATCGGTTGTCAGGGGGAATTTTCGAAAGTTCAAAAATATTTAAAAAACTTCTAATAAAATATTTCGTGGAAGGGCAGACTTAAAAATTACAGAGGTTGAAGACTATTTACCCTAGATAACACACATAAAATGAAGTTTTTTCGAAGTAATGCATTTTTAAGATCCACTTGAAAAGTCTGTCGTCAAGTACTTTTAGTAAAAATTTGTTATTCGAATACTCTAGCTGTTGTTATGACTCATTAGAAAGGTATTTCACTTGACCCATATATTTCATGTTTTAGTACTGTAAATTTTTAATGTTATTATATCAACCTAATAGCCTCAATATATAAAAATAATAGAACCTGAAGAGAGATGATGTATCAAATATTTTTCTTTAAAAGGTGTACTTTACTTCCTCTTCAATGAAATTATTGCCCATTTTGAGGATTTTTTCCCAAAAAACTGTCGCCGGGGGCAGAGACGTAAATTAATACTTTAAAAGATCAATTTATTATTTTTCTTTGAAATTTTTTTCGGCGGAATTTATGTTTATGCACAAAAAAGATCCACATGTATTTGCACCTACCACAATCGACTGTTTTGTGAAAATTTGTCTATAATTTAAAAGTTTGCAAATATCTCGAAGCTCCATACCATAATTTAAGTAAAAACACATACATAAGATGCATAAAATCCTAAACTAGGCACTTTCATTAAACTTTTAAAGCCCATAGAAACAGATGTAAACAATTCAAATTTACCAACTTGGCCTTTTTTACCTTCTCTAACAAAGAGTTCCATTTCTTTTGTTTAATTTCAACTGGGTTTCCGCCTGCGAGGAAGATCGCAAATACATGATCATACATGTGCAGAAATATAGACGACTTTTTCTTAAAATTTTACCAAAAAATTGTGAAAATATTTTAAGGGATAACCTACTTTGTAAAAATATTTAACTTTAATGTTTGAACCTGCACAGACACAACTTTGAAATTGTTATATTCACAAAAATACAATATTTCTATCTGAAAGTTTACGTGACAAGAGCAGACGGTTGATCTCGAAAACCGTTGATGTGAAAAATAGGTATACTGTGAAACTGCAACATGCTAAGGACTATGTGGAACACTCCAAAAATTGGTGACCTGAAAGATCTTTAGACTTTGTATGTACATGATTTATTCCATTTTTTTTTATCAATATGCAGAAAAGAGCAACATTTTTTAAATATCAATTTCACAAGCTTCTAATGCAATTATCTCGATAAATATTGTGTATTTGCATGTATATTTCTAATGAATCAGTTCAACAAATAATTTCTTTAAATTTACGATTATTGTTTAGAAATAATTTTTAATCTGTATAGTCACCAGCGTTGGTTTACTATTGATTTTCTCGACTTTTGCATAAGAGTGACTTTTCTATTGTTCTCGCGTCATTGGTTTTGCCATTGTGCCAGTCATGAACGTAAATAGCGCTTTTTTAGATTTTGTGCGTCCGAAGAGCCTTTCTTTGTAATCTTCATCAGGAACTCTCAACCCCAAATATTCAGATGTCATGGATGTATATATACGTAGAAACGCGAGGAGCTATTTGACCAAAGGATTGGATGATCAGTAAGCCATGCGGGTAGTCAATACCTAGATTATTTTTTTCAATGACATAGGGTTATTTTCTAGTATTCCAAGTGTATACTAATGGCATTAACCGGGAGTAATGCTGCATAACACTTTTCTCGGTATTGTTTTTGTTTGTTTAACTTAGTTTTATTTACTCTTAAAGTAAAATTTGGACAATTGGTGAATCCCAGCGGGCTTTTAAGATTAGTCTGATGAATGTTAAAGTTAAAACGATTTTCCTGCATTTAACACATACCCATTAAATCAGAGTATCCAGTCCAATATATTCCTGTTGAACATTTGTTAGAATATTGAAAATTTTATGTTATCATACCATTTTGATTTAAAGGGCATTGTTAGGACCAAATGATGTAATGTGTATTTGGAAGATAATATTAGTATAACATTGATGGTTGTGCGACAATTTTACAAGACAGACTGGTCTAACTGTTTTTTGTTGTGTGTTTTTTTGTTTTTGTTTCAATACTCGAAAAAAATATGTTTTAAGTATGTATATGTAAAAACGATATTGGATAGCAATTATATAACACTAAGACATATACAACTGCAAATGATGAAAATAAAAATAAAAAGGTAGTTTACTTACTGAAACAAATTTTTGCGTTTTAAAATTATTTGCTTTATCTTGCAGAAACAGTGGATTAAACCATTCAAACAAAGAATGGTAAAGTCCAACTCTGAGGTCTTGTTTACGTAGTGATGTAACAAGCTCTCCTAAAATAGAAAAGATAATCCAAAAATAAATGATAGCATAGAAACGTCATATATTCACGCTTTAGCATACCGAAAATAAATGTTTTTTTCAAAGGAAACAAACGGTGTTTAATTTCATTACTTTCTGTAGATTTGGTCTGTTTAAAGAATATCTAATAGATAGCTCTGACACAGGTATAGATATTTGTACAGAGAAGAATAGCAAAGCACTTAGGTATAAGGAATTAAACAAAAATCATTTAAACTTGAAACTTTCGGTTGCAGTCATCAACACTATAAACGAAATGCCATGATCAATCAGAGTATTATGTTCCTACAAGTATTTATATTAATATTCAAGAGTTAAAAGACTTTATTTTCGATATTTTAATACCATAAAATGAAAGATGAAGGTTTATTTTCAAGATTTACATTTTATACTACAATGAGAGTGATCTTGAATACACACCATGTTCGATATTACCTGCGTTTAGGGTGTAAAATATTGTTGAAAATATTCAAATCCATTTTAAATTGTATTTTAATCTAATCTTACTATAACGGCATATTTTATGGAGAGAAAAATAACACCTATAATTTTGAATAACCATTTTCTTATCGAAATATTTATCATTTCTCGATTATTTGAAATACTTTTGGTCATATGTAAGTTTTTCTATTGTAAAACTGACACTAACGTACCTACAATATCCCTTTTTGGGCCGACTGACATAGAATTCCAATTAAAAGAGTAGTTAGATGGCCACATTGTAAAACCTTCATGATGTTTAGTCGTAAATACCACATACCTACAAAATACAAAATAAAAATATTATTGATAATAACATGATAGTACGTTTCACAAAAGTTATTTGGAAGTCATGACCAATAAAGGTATAATAATGAAAAGTATTTTTTTCTTAATTGAGGCCCCTCATGGGGGTGTCCAAGTAATCACATAATCACAAATTTTTTGCCAATATAATCACATAATTATTAATTATTTTCTTAAACAAGATAATCAAATAATCAAAAATACAGTCCTAGATTATCAAATAATCAAATAATCATGAAATATTTGGTCTCGTAATCAAATAATCACTATAAAAACGGCCAAGTAATCATATAATCAAAAACCCCATGAGGAGGCTCTTAATTGGTCTATAAAAACACTGGCTATTATCGTTCAAATAAAAATCAATTTAAATTAAACATATTTAAAAACATTTCCCTTCCCCCTTAATAAATAAATGGTACTATTTAAAAAAAAATTGACGGCGTTTATTAGATAATTTAGTAAGTTTCTGAAGGTTTCCACGTTTGGTATTCGCATTTTACTCATACATATATGTACTCAAAATATAGAAGAAACATTAAATTTGCAAAACTTTCTTCTTTAAGATAAACAGATTGTCAATGACAACCTAATAGAGATATAAGCGGTAGCAATTGTTAAAAACGTAATTTTTTTGGAGGGTACATAACTCAAAAACATTATATTGTCTTTATAAAGTTAAAAATTTTTGTTTACATGCATCACAAATATGGACCAAATTCGCTGAATAACGAATACCGAATCGTTACAACTAATGTTTTTACAGATGAGAAATATATTTATTAAAGTTATTGGTAACATGATGTAGTACAGTCAAGCGATTGTTTACTATAAACAAGTGTTTGTGTTTTTAATAGTTATGATTGGATGGCATATACCCGCAATGGGGCTTTTATGGGTATATGCTATGCAGCTCATGAGATTCGTGAAAAGCATCATTAAGTATAACTCGTTTGAGAGATTAAAGTTATTAGAAGTTTTCCAATAGTTTACGTAGCAGCAGTTCGTTATTATGTTGACCAACCCACCCTTTTTGAGTTGATTTTTGTTTATGGGGGTATATACATACATTAAATTATTAATTATTAATTTTTCCTCTTTTGTGGATATATTTTGATTGTGTATACTATGTATGCTTGCCTGAATTTATAATGAAGGTTTAATGTAATAAATATAAAAGGCTGCTACACATGTAGGCATACTTATCCTATTCATATGTTGTTTTATTCATTAATTAATTTATATTCGTTTGAGCTTGGCGAATTTGAATATAATAGAAGTTACATCATAAGTTTGATAACGGTAAATATACTTACTCCGCACCGGATGATTTAAAGAGTTTTGTCCATTCATCCGTATCTAAAAATTCAGCTGTTAACATGGAGGCAAAGTCCGGGTATGTAAAACCTGGTTTGTAGTTTTTATGCATGAATTCTACATATTTTGGGTCCTTCTGTCCTTTCCATCGATACCAAAACCATTCGTTGTACACACTAGGAACGGAGTAGACTCCCCAAACAACAAAAATTCCTATTTTAGCACTGTCATACCATACTGGTAAAGGCCTTTTGTCTAAAGCTTCCCAGTTTGGAGGATAAAGTTTATCCTCCCTGTTCCTTTGTTTCACGGTGTTAAACTCCTCTACTACCTTCTGGTTCTTACTATTAAATTCAACTGTGCATGGACAAAGCAATATCAATATCCCCGGTATTGTATTTACATTTTTAATGATGAACATTTTCCAACAAAAGTATATTCCACTCTTCTTCACTTTACATGTTTGTTATTAAAATATATCGATGTAAATAAAAGGGAAATAATTGAGATGCACTCCGGATACCATATGATACTGATAATGACACAGGTATCACTTGTCAAGGGAGAGAATAAAACTTTTCATAAGTAAGCGAGATTTCATGTTTAACTTAAGGATGTTCGCTCTTCTTGTTTTTGAATTTTTGCCAGATATTCGGAATCCTCTGGTTTTATCCATGAAGTGCCATTAAAAATTTTGCCCACTAACCCCTACTTTTCTTTCCATAATTTGATAACGTATAGTTTAAAATGTCATCTTTGAAAATCTTATAAAATCCTTGTTATTTTTTCATTGTTTTTGAAAGAAAAAAGGTGCCAATGTTAAATGTATGAAAAATCTAGAGAGAATTATTTCCCGCCAAATTTTCAATGGCTTATATCTCGAAAACAAGCACACGGACCCTTCATTTTTTTCTGCTTTTTTAGTTTCTTTATTTATATACTATCAATTTATAACAGTCTTTTAAAAAGCTTGTTATTTTGAATCAGGGTAGCGAACATCCTTAAAAATAACTTTAATGATAGATGTGTGCGAAGAAATAATCTTTATAAAGTTAGTTCGTTCGTAGTTTGTTTGAACAATAGACGTTTTCGTAGAAAACGTTTTTCTTATATTTAGACAAAAACTTAAAACGAAACCTGCTTATAAATTACAGTAGATATTTTTTTTTTACCTTTTTCCCCACATATTTTCTTCGGATATTGGATTTAAATCGACATTTTTATTTACAACGCTTCGTTTTTTAAAACTGTAACATTTTAAAGCTCATCATTTTGATAGACAAGACGTATACATAATCTAATTCTTATTCTTGAGTTTTAGAGGATAATTTGGCGGGTTGAGATGATTAATCATCGTGTTGCATGCACTTCTTCCAACTTACACTTATTGATTTTCTGCACAAACGAACTAGCCGTGTACTCAATTTTTACCAAATTTCAACAAGTTGACAATGTTCACCTCCCGAAAACCAACAAATAAGTGAATGTCGAGGCTAATGAAGTTAAAGATAAACTTTATACGTATATGTATTAACGATCTTGGACAGTTACCTCTAAATATTCAGTATGTCTTCAAAATTTCGCATTGGGATCAGAACAGTTATTGAGAATAAAGTCTATTTAAAAGACTGTTGATTTTCCTGTACAAGCTGAGCACAACGACAAATTATGCAGAACGATGCAAAACTGACAACTGTATGTGCCGGTCTCATGTAATTCAGTGGTTGTCGTTGGTTGCTGTCTGCCATTTTATGTTTTTCGTTTATGGTTTAAATTCAAATCAGGCCATTGATTTTCTAGTTTGAATTGTTTTACATTTTGTCATGTCGAGGCCTTTTTATAGGTTACTATATATATATATATGTGAGTGTTACACATTGATAAAGGTAGCACGGTGACCTATAGATGCTTACATCCACGTCCAGTAATCGAAACTCATTAGTCCAATAAAAACAACCCACAAAAGGATTACAACATAGAATGTTAATAATATGAGCTTGAAGTCATCTTCATTATTATTTCACTGAAAAATTACCACAGAATTATTATTTTTATTTTCAAAAATCAATGCTTTCAGCTCTCAAAATTATGAGAAAAAAAGTGTACGTCTTTTTTTTGTACGTTACGACAATCAAAGTGATCAAAATCACGCATGGAAAGTTTGGAAGAGAATAGGGAATAAACAAATATTTTTTTACAGAAAATGCTCATGTTAAAGTTATGCAATTCTATTTATTGTTTCAAGGAAATCACTGATAATTGCAAACTAAATTAACCTAAATTATTGACTAATGTCAGTTGATCATGACACCAATTTTACAAGTAAAATAAACCCTGCTTGCATTTTTGTATACATATTTTATTTTTTGTCTTTTCTTAGAAAAAATTATCATATCTTACTAATCTTATATCATTCAACTTTGACCCTATATTTCAAAATTATTTTATGAAGTGTAGATCAAAAGAAATTAAAGGTAAATGATTAAATCTATCATTCCTATGTGTCATCCATCTAACATATATTGAGATCAATAACTGTGAATTACGTTGTGTATTGGGTTGTTTGATAAAGTGTCTGTTCAATTATGTAATACAAGAGTTAGGTAATACGGTCAATAATTAACATGTGCTTCATTGATTGTAATATTTTGTTAATATTGAGAGTTGTCAATTATACCGGTATTGTTTCTTAATTAATAATAAAAATGACCAAACTAGTTAGCAAAAAGACAAAACAAATGACATACATACTTGAATAGACTGTTACACGATATATTAATTAATTTTTTTTCGGTTTATTTGTGCATATTTTTATAGACATGAAAGTATTTGGAACTGTATTCAAATGTGTATAGATTTAGTTGCTAGTCCTGATACACCGTGGTTGATGATGCCTTATCTGCTTTACACCGCACATAGAGAAGGTACTTCCAACTTGACAATTTTTTTTTTATTATAACAAGGGCATTTTTTTTGTTTGTAAGACAAAATATGATATTCGGCAAATGTATATATAAGGTAAGGAGATTACCCAAGCACATGGATGTTCAATTTCAATAATACAACACTGAATGATTTTCCTTCTAATAAAAGATTCGAGTTCTAATGTCCACCGCGTTGCAAATATTTTTTTTTAATTTCTAAAACTTTTTATATTTGATCGTCAATTATTTTCGAAATTGTCCGTGACATTGCTGATATTAACCTTTTATATGAATTTGATAAAAATCTACCAAGAATTGTACATGCGAGAGCGCATACAATGCAAATTCCCATATAATGAATATTTTTAAGGGCCATAACTCTTTAAAAAAAAATTGATCGGCACTGAATTTCAAACTTGTCAGAGACATTGCTGATATAAACCTATGACATAAGTTATATAAAAATCTGTCAAGAATTGTACATATGAGAGCACTAACTTTGCAATTTTCCATGTAATTAATATTTCTATGGGCAGAACTCATTTTTTCTAAAACAATGTCCTGTACCAAGTCAGGAATATGGCAGTTATTATCACATAGTCTGTTTTTATGTATGTTGGCGTTTGTTTTTGTAGCAGTTCAGTGTTTCTGTTGTTCCGTTTTGTTTCCTCTTACAGTTGATGTCTTTCCCTCAGTTTTGGTTTGTGACCCGGATTGGTTTCAGTTAAATCGATTTATGACTATTGAACAGCGGTATACTACAATTGCCTTTATTTAAAAGCACTTTATCGGCACTGATTTTCGAGTTCGTCCGAGACATTGCTGATATAAACCTACAAAAGATTGAATGGCTTTTAAGATCTTGATTGGTATAAACATGGAGGTAATAAAAATTCTTATATTTAGAGTTATAAGCATCAAAGGGTAACACTAAGTTAAAAAAAAGTTCGAAAATAGAAAAAAAAAGCTATCAAATGTCATTATACCTCTTTAAAACTGGAAACAGTGGACATGCTGAAATGTCTTCAATTGCTTTTATTTGTGTGAAAATATGTTAACAGATTTTAATATCAAAATTGTGCTGCATATATTACAAATCTTCAACTTTGTTAAGTTGTTAAATTGTTTTACTGTTTATTGATTTTTTCTTGCTTATTGCCAGTGGCAAATATTCCATGCATATTCAGGACGAACTTTGATTAATAAACTAAGGAAATGAGATCCTGGCCAGGTGAAAAAGTACACTTTGCAATAATCTTATAGACCATATTCAAGTAACCTATTAGACAATGACAATACAATAGAAACTTAGCATTGATCAAATAACCATAAACAATGAAGTTGAGTGACCTTGCAATAGTTTTATAGATAAAATACAGTTGAACTAGACAATTTCAAAATTGCTTTTTCCCCAATTTTAATGTTACAAGAGAAAATGTAGAACGCCAAAAAACTAAAGTGATTGTTTGATGATTTTAATAGTTCAAGTGTCGGAGTTTCCAAAATAGCAATAAGGTCTTTATGATGCAGTAAGAAACTAGCCTTGTCGAAAAAAAAGTTACTGTTGATTATTCACCTCTCTTAAAAAAAGGTGTAACAGTGGGAAATCTAGTGAAAAAATATTACCTCTCCTGTAAATATTGAAAACTAGGTCTTCTCAATGTTTGTCCCATTTTAGCAAGGACGCTATCAATTATAGATTCACGGGAAAACGTTCTGGTAAATAGTAAAAATAGAAATAAGTTTAAATAAAAACAAATTTTCAATTCAATGCTATCATTTCCCTCCTTAAGTAGCAAACGATGAGTACAGCAGGCTATAGAAGCGTGATGTAAAATTGGTTTAAAATATTGGTATTCGAATAAATTTCTGGAGTACCAACTTCAATTTATTTTTCTGCTGGCTGTATACCTTTCTGGAACATGCTAATTATCAGAATATATATACAGCTAGATCAGAGAAAGTCAGGGAAAAAATTCCAAAGGAATCGATTGATATGCAGCAAAGATTGGCACTTTTGAAATTAAGTTACTAAGCAAATTTAAACTGAACTTATCTCCATGTAAACATTGAATGTGAATAGATCGAGAAGACCGCAAATACATGTACAAAAATCGAGACGACCTTTTCTTAAACTGTATAAAAAATAGTAGAAAGATACCTAATTTATAAGAATAGCTATTTTTAATTTCTTAACTTGCACAGACAGACTTTTAAATTTTTATATTCACAAAAAGACAATATTTCTCTATTGAATGTACATGTGACAAGAGCAGACCGGTGTGCTCGATAATTAAGATGTGAAAAAATAAGTATACTTTGGGAACTTGTAACATGCTAAGGATTTTGTGGAACACTCCGAAAATTGGTGACCCGAAAGATCTTTAGATTTTGTATGTTCATGATTTTTTCCAATTTTTTTTTTTATCAATATGCAGTAAAGATTGACAGTTTTTAAGTTTAAGTTTCACAAGCTTCTAATGCAATTATCTCAATAAATACTGAACATAAAGCATAGTGTATTTGCATGTATATTTCTAATAACACAGTTTAACAATTAACGTATTTAAAATGAACAATTATTATTTGGAAATAAGTTTTGATCAGTATCGTAACCGGCATTGTTTTAATTTTGACTTTCTCGACTCTATCATAAGAAGGGTGAATTTTCTTTTGTTTTCGTTCACTGGATATCCCACTGGTAAATCTTACTCCGATTACAAAGCCCTTATATGACCATATATTTTAATAAAATTGTTCCAAATATTTTTAAAACATTATTTCTTAACTGCCAACGGGCTATACACAATTGAGGTCATCCGACAACCAAAGCTTGACTGAAAACGTTTAGATGTTTTTCTTCTGAAGTATGTATACAATTTTTACCGGAAATTTACATGTTTACATTTATCAAAAATCTCTTTTTTAGGTAATTGTGACATGCAGTAGCAAACATTAGTTTGTTTTACATAATCAAAATGACTGTCATAATGTTGAAAATTATGTCTTAATTATCACTTGTACACCAACTTTGATCTGAACAACTGAAAGACTGAACAATTAATTATTTCGTCATTTTTTGTTTTTCAGTCAATTTCCAATATTGATCACACATTCTGCTTGCAGTCAATAAAGATCTGTTTCAGGAGCTATTTATCTAGTTACCTGTACACATCAACATCATACTAAATTATCTGAAATGCTACTTAACAGTACTGAATTGACTGCAAGCGAACTGTCTGAACAGTGCTGATTTACCACAGTGGATAAGTCTGAAATTTGATTGAAATGCTGAATATGACTGAATCATTTATTGTTCAGACTTTGCAGATCCTGTTAAGATTAAAATGAGTTTCATACCAAAACTCATCTACTAGTGAATGTATTTTAAATCTTATATATTATCATATTTTATACTTTTCAAAGCTTCAGATTCTTTTCCAACAATTGATCTGGATGTTTAATGAATAGAGGAAAATCCTTTGAAATCATAGTTGATATCTGATATGTGAGGTTCATAGAGATAATTTGATATATAGAAGTCACAATATGATAAGATATCTTCAGTTTCCATATCTTAAAACAAAAAACAACGCTCCTTTCTATTTTCATTTATGGAATGCAAACAATATAAATAAAAACATATCAGCTTTATATATAAAAATCAATATAAAAGTGCATTTTCAATCAGTTCTAAGAAAATAATTGATAAATATAAATAAATCTAAATTGGTAGGGTGTGTTTATTTTGTGTCATATGAAAGGTGAGTTTCATAAATGAATATTATTTTAAAAACAGTCATTTAAACAAAACTAGTTTTTGTAACTGTTGTTTTCAATTAAAATAATTTATTAAATATTGGTGATCCTAATCTTTGCTTAGGTGTGCATGTAAACAGTTGATGCAAAGCTTTCTAATGAATTGGAAAAGGTAAACATAAATAAGTAAAGGGTCTTTCATTTCAACCCTGAGTATTTGAGTTAAACAAACTTAATTACAGCTTGACTCTATTATGAATTGAGAAGATTTGAAATTTTAAATGTCCATGCCCATTTACAAGGCATCTGGTTGTGTGATATTAATGGAATTTGTATTAGCATGCCACTAGAAGCTCCTTTAGTCCATTGGAAAGAAATGTCTGAACCGAGCATTTGAACAGTCGTGTCCTTAGAAGGTGTTGGAGCTCCTAGAAATATGGTATCTTTTTCTGGCCAACGTAATAATATTGCATAAACTGTCTTTACTGTATCAGTAATATGTGCTGTGTACCTGTAAAAAAGTAATCTGTTGTTTATCAAGCTGTTAAAAAGGAGTATTTAAATCAGTTTCTTATATGAATAAAAAATAAATGCCATTGGGAGTATACATCAAAGAGAGAGGGACCCAATCAATAAAACAAAAGACACCTAGAACATTATTTTTAAAGGTGTCTCCTTTTTCTTTACCATGTTTTCATGTTTTCATACCATTTTCAACCTATAATCAGATTGTTCACTTAATTTTTTTTAATGTTTTTTATAATAATGTTTTCAATGTTTTGTTATGTAGTCAACTGTCATGTTGAACAGTAAATAAACTAAATCCTTCCATTGATTGTGATAAGGTTTACTGATATATCCATTTATCATGCTATAAGAAAAGAGATGCATAGTTTTGCAGTTTTGATATGTTCAAAATAGTAAATTTGAACTCACCATACTTTTGGTGTTACAGTGTCATTTTGAAATTTCCAAGGTACAGAAGAATATATTGCTTCACCATTCACTTTAAGCCATTCTCCCATTTGACTGAGTCTCTCTTGGAAGATCGGCTTTATAACACCATCATGAGAGGGTCCAACATTCACCAGAATGTTTCCTCCACAGCTAAAACAAACAATACAGTCCTATGTTCACACAGTGTAATGGAAATGTGAGTACTAAATGTTCACAAATCAAAAACAGCAAAACGAAATATTTACTTGATCTCATCAACAGGTTTGTAAAAAAGCCAATAATATGATTCCACATTTTTTTCCCTATTCATTAAATACCTTATTTCATGCATTAAAAAACTCTTTTCTTCTGTTTTTCCATATGTAAAAACATTTTTCTCAGGAAATACAAATTTGAACACCCTGAAATTTTGAATCAAGATTCATGTGAGCATGCTATAATTAGTGATGCATTTTCGCATCCATTGCCCGACAACTGCATGTTCACCGAATAATCATCGTGGGGGTATCAGTTGCTCACAGTTCAACTTGATAATGAAAACAGTAGAATAGCATAACAATATCATAACAACTATCTAAAGTATCACTAGAAACGCAGAAGTGTACAAGAGCCATGCATGAGGTGTTGCAGAATATGCTTATTCTCCTGTATTTTCTTCTATCACTAATTGATTGTATTAATATATAGTCATTTCTTTTTGCTAGTATGCCCTGATTTTTTATTTTTCGCTTCTGTGCTCATTCTATCAAACAATCTCTCTAGATTAAACGATTACTAACTTTTACACAGGGACCTTTTTGATTGGATAGATTTTATATCATAGCATTTATTACCTGATGGTTTCTACTATGGTATCAATCAGTTGTTCAATAGCGAGATAGTCACTTAGGTTTGCATTTCGTCTGTATCCCCATGACTGTGAATCTATTGTCATTGCATTTTCCCATTTTCTTGTTTGTAATTTACCTAAAATTCATTTCATTCTGAATGTTATCATTTATCATCTATAGGTAAGAAAATTAACAATACTGCAACATTGTAAGACTTTTCAAATTATCATTCATATTGTTTGCTTTAAATTTGTGCAAATAAACTCATCATAGTTACCAGGATTAAATTGTGTATGCCTGACACATATATTGTCTACCAAAGACTCATTAGTAACGCCCGAATAAAAAAAGTTTAAATGTCTAAATAAATAACGAACTTGGGGAGCATTGAGAACCAAAAATACCAAAAAGGTTTTGCCAAATACAGCTAAGGTAATCTATTCCTGGGGTAGAAAATCCTTAGTATTTCGAAAAATTCAACGTTTTGTAAAAGAGACTGTAAATATAAGTATTTGCTCCTGATAGTAAAAAACATTTTTAAAGCAATCAAATATATATCTGTTGACTGTAATTACCTGGATTGTATCTGTCCATACAGGTGAAGTATCCCCCATGTTTACACATAACACCACTGCCCCATCTGTCATTAGTGACAACAGTGTCTTTCACAGGACTTAAATATAGCAGGAAGAAAACGTTTAGAAATTATTAAAATACTGCATATGAATAAGGCACAATAACGTATAGAAAAGTGATAAATATAAAATTGTACTGTCATTTTGCTGAAAATATTCCATCTGAAAACATATCAAAATATATTTGCATAGGTTATTTTAATGGGAATGGAAGTACGAAGAAAATGTCTAAATTAATTATTCAAATATTGATATTGCATTGAAAATCAGTTACGTTTTTGTACTTAGTATGAATTTTCTGCAAATTTCCTTTCCAGCAACATATGATTGGATTTATATTGACTGACATCATTCAATAAATTCATTATAGATACAATGTTAGAACTAACCTACAGTTAGGGGACGACCATTTGAATTTAGAAGGTTTTTGGGGAGGGGCAGGCATGAGGATTTTTTAGACGGTAAATCGTTTTCACATGTTTTTAGGGAAGCTTATTTTTTCAATTTTGTACACAATAATTTCCTGCATTCTTTTTGGAAGAATATTCATTTACCAGGGCAGTATCATCTTGCCCCTCCCCAAAAAGTAAATCAAATAGTCGTCCCTTTATAGAGCTAGGATAAGAAATTGCTTTAGAGTCAAAGTTGAAATTTTATGAGAAATTCTCTGAGTGCTGATAACCTGTAGGTGTAACGCTAAAAGATATGAAGTCAATGAAATTCATTTTTTCATAATGATGTTTCAATGTAGAATCAAAAGGCTACCCATTGGATTAAATTCCAACGTCTTATTGTGGATGTACAATTAGTATATGAACTGAGAAAAATTTGCTGTTTAACATACTAAATTCCTCTAATAATATTAACATCGAATTCAGACAACAGTAGTTTACCTATGTTCCAAATAAAGGCAACAGTAGTATACCGCTGTTCGAAATTCATAAATCGATTGAGAAAAAAAACCAAATCCGGGTTACAAACTAAAACTGAGGGAAACACATCAAATATAAGAGGAGAACTCCAACACATCAGAAACACAACATTAAAATGTAACACGCACAGAAACGAACTATAACATAACAATGGCCATTTTCCTAACTTGGTACAGGACATTTTAAGAAAAAAATGGTGGGTTGAACCTGGTTTTGTGGCTAGCCAAACCTCCCGCTTTTATGGCAACTAAGAAGATAAACTATTTGAAATTTCCTGCAATTATAATGAGCAACAGTTGACAGGCACTATGCTCTCAATCTTGATGTTATACGTGCTTTCAGTTGTATATACTGATTATACTCTCTGTTGGAATTCCCAATGTTATACACTCACCTGTAGTTGTAGAGCCAAGCAATAAATTCTGTGGAATTCCAGTAAGTATCTAAAGCTTCCCAGTCACCGTCAGACCATACAACATCTGGTTTGTAAGTATTTACAAGCTCATATAGTTCTGGCAGGGTTTTACTCTGTATGAGCCAATAACAAAACTGTAATCTTATGCACACTATGCATCTTTTAAATAAATAAACATGAAATTCCATGCAAATGCACAATTCACAAAGATCAGATAAGACCCTCTGATTCTGTAATTCTTTTGTTGATGCCTAGTCGATGGCTAATCTCATCAAAATATAAATGTAAAATACCAACTTCGGTGAACACGAAACACAATTTTTAGTACATCCGATCAAAGACTCTAATGGCTGGGTTGCACAAAATATTAATTAAACAAGTAAATATTCATAAGGGGTTCCGCGGAACCTGGTGTCTCGCCTGCGATTACTGCTGTCAGTATATAATGTAATGTTGACTAAACTAGAGGCTCTAAAGAGCCTGTGTCGCTCACCTTGGTCTATGTGCATATTAAACAAAGGACACAGATGAATTCATGACAAAATTGTGTTTTGGTGATGGTGATGTGTTTAAAGATTTTACTTTACTGAACATTCTTGCTGCTTACAATTATCTCTATCTATAATGAACTTGGACCAGTAGTTACAGTGGAAAATATTTTGTAAAAATTTACAAAAGTTTACAAAATTTATGAAAATTGTAAAAAATTGATTATAAAGGGCAATAACTCCTTAAGGGGTCAATTGACAATTTTGGTCATGTTGACATATTTGTAGATCTTACTTTGCTGAACATTATTGCTGTTTACAGTTTATCTCTATCTATAATAATATTTAAGATAATAACCAAAAACGGCAAAATTTCCATAAAATTACCAATTCAGGGGCAGCAACCCAACAACGTGTTGCCTGATTGGTCTGAAAATTTCAGGGCAGATAGATCTTGACCTAATGAACAATTTTATCCTGTCAAATTTGCTCTAAATGCTTTGGTTTCAGAGATATGAGCCAAAAACTGCATTTTGACCTATGTACTATTTTTAGCCATGTCGGCCATCTTAGTTTGCGGGCGGGGTCATCGGACACATATTTTAAACTAAGTACCCTAATGATGATTGTGGACAAGTTTGGTTAAATTTGTCTTAGTAGTTTCAGAGGAGAAAATTTTTGTAAAAGATTACAAAAATTTACGAAAAATGGTTAAAAATTGACTATAAAGGGCAATAACTCCTTAAGGGGTCAACTGACAATTTGGTCAAGTTGACATATTTGTAGATCTTACTTTGCTGAACATTATTGCTGTTTACAGTTTATCTCTATCTATAATAATATTTAAGATAATAACCAAAAACGGCAAAATTTCCATAAAATTACCAATTCAGGGGCAGCAACCCAACAACGGAATGTCAGATTTATCTGAAAATTTCAGGGCAATTAGATCTTGACCTGATAAACAATTTTACCAAACGTCAAATTTGCTCTAAATGCTTTGGTTTCAGAGATATAAGCCAAAATCTACATTTTACCCCTATGTTCTATTTTTAGCCATGGCGGCCATCTTGGTTGAATGGCCAAGTCACCGGACACATTTTTAAAACTAAATACCCCAATGATGATTGTGGCCAAGTTTGGTCAAATTTTGCCCAGTAGTTTCAGAGGAGAAGATTTTTGTAAAAGTTTACGGACGACGGACGCAGGACGCAGGACGACGGACGCCAAGTGATGAGAAAAGCTCACTTGGCCCTTTGGGCCAGGTGAGATAAAAAGTGAATCCATTTATCAGTAAAATACAGAATTCAATAAATTACTTCGCCGAGCGCAGCTGGATACGACCGCAGATGTCCAACCCTGAACAGTTGGGGCAAAAACGGACGCAATATTCGCGCAAAAAAAAATAAAATTTTAACCCCTTAACCCCCCTTTTTTTTGTTGCTTTGAGCAATACACTATGCTGTTGCGTATTAACCCCCCCCCCCCCCCCCCCAACACACACACTTTTTTTTTGCAAAAAAAATATTATTTGAAGAAATATCAAAACGTTGTATTTGGATTACCTCCCTTACACTGCTTTTAAATTGTCTTAATTGTTCATTAACCATTTCTTTATACATAATTTAAAAGCAGTGTAAGGAAGGTAATTCATATGATGTATTTGAATTACCTCCCTTACACTGCTTTAAATTATGTTTTGTACTAAAGTATTTGTCCATTAACCAGGACACCCTTGTTTTCCCCTTTTTTGTCCTAATTCCTAAACGGTATGAGCCATAACCCCCCTAAGCAAATCCTAACCATCCCTTTGTGGTATGGAAACTTGTGGTATAATTTCAGAGAGATCCATACACCGTTCCAGAAGTTATTGTCTGGAAACTAGAAAAATGCTTATTTTTGGCCCCTTTTTGGCCCCTAATTCCTTAACTGTTGGTACCATAACCCCCAAAATCAATCCCAACCTTCCTTTTGTGGTATTGAACATTATGGTAAAATTTCATAGAGATCCTTTCACTTAAACTAAAGTTATTGTGCGAAAACCAATGTGTCTTCGGACGACGACGACGACGACGCCAACGTCATACCAATATATGACCGCAATATACTGCGGTCGTATAAAAAAAAATCAAACTTTTACTTTAGATGCTATTTCTTGGTCTTCTAGATCAGCTTCTGTTTAAGTTTCATAATAATCCATGAAGTTTTACAAATTTATCATGTAAAAAAAATAAATCCCAAACTTTTTGTAAATGTTTACTGTAAAAAACAAAGTCCATCTATCAGAAAAATACTAAAAATGAAATAATATATTTTCAAAAGTTTGCTTTTAATCATAAAAATGATTCTGCCAAAAGTTCATAAAATTCTATGAAGGTTTGACAAGGTAATTGATTGGTGTGTACCATACTCTATCCTCAGACTATCTCCTTTTTAACTGGAAAAAAAGTTCATTTATCAGTAAAATACGGAAAAATGAAAAATAAATATTTTAAAAATTTTGATCTGGATGCTGTATTTAGATCATTAACAAACTTCTGTACAAACCTCAGACTGAGTCTGAATGTTAACTGTAAAAAAAAAGTAAGTCCATTTATCAGTAAAATAACGAAAAAATGAAAATAAATATTTTCAGAATTTAGCTCTCGATACTGTTTTTTGTCATAAACAACCTTCTGTCCAAAATTCATAAAATTCCATGAAGGTTTGACAAAGTTATCGATGTATAAAAAAATGTAACCACAGACACCGCAGCAGCCGACGCCGACGACGGAATCAAGGATCGCAATGTCTCGCTTTCGCGACATAAATTTCGTAGGCTCGACAAAAATTGTCTTTTATGAACATTTAAATATAAGTTTGGAAAATGGGCAAAAAATTCCCCAATATCAGGTGCAAAACTATAATAAAGTACTATCTTTCTGTAAAGTTTCAAGAATCCAGGACTAAAATCGTAGCAAAAGTTGATTACACAAAATAGGTACCGTCCTTTGTAAATTTAAAAAACAAAATTACTATTTTGCAATGTCTGGAAAATAGGTAAAAAATCCTCGAACAATTCCGTAATAGCAGGTCCCCAACCTTAATATTGGAGCAATCTATTTTAGAAGATTTAATTATTATTAAATGATAACTGCAGGAGGACTGGATGAGTTCATTACCCAAACTCTTGCAAAATGGGGAGAAATCCACAATTCCATAATAGCAGGTACACAACTTCAATATGCGTGCAATCTTTCTGTGAACTATCAAGGATCTATGTCGAACACCTGTAGGAGGAAGTGATTATACAAATTCAATTCAATTTTCCCCACCAGTCCAGGCATCCGCCCGTCAAACAAAACCATACTTTAAGCCAATTTTGCACTTCGTGCAACCTGGCCAAAGGGGTCTTAACGGAATAGTGATATTCGCCTGCGGTCAATTTTGCCTGATTGCGTTGTGCATTTTAGTATTCAAAAATATTAAAGAACTGAACAAACTATAAGTCTCTTTGTTTCCTTGTATTAGAGAAATATATGATATCTGATTAACGTTCTATAAATAATAATTTCAAGCAACTTAAAAAAACCGCTTGTATTTACAGTCTCAAAATATTTTAAATAAAACATTATTTTAGCAGTATGACTTGCTGGTTTATTGAGTGCTTCGGTTCTATGTAAATTTTTGATAAATGAAAAATACTGACACAATTTTAAAGCGTTGTCTAGAATCATTTTAAAGTTGTTCTATCTAGCTCTTCTTCACTTGAAATATCTGTTCAATCTTGCATTGACAATGAGTTAGTTCTGAAGAGTAAAATGTAATGATCTTAAACTTAAACCGAATTACAAACTGTCAGCATAATTTGTCAACGGGGTGGAAAACAGTCAGCTAAAAAAGAGGCAAAAGTTTCCAAGGTGACTTTCAAGATGCATACATCGAAGAGAAACTGGCAATGCCAGGGCAAAAACGCAGCAAGTGACAAGATTGCTTCAAACTTTTCATAAGTTGCACTTTGTTGCATCTTATTTACGGAAACCTTAGGTTTTAGCGTTATTGATGAAGGTAAATCCTGAAAAGCACTTCGGGCACATCAAGTATTTATTTCATTTGCAAACTATCTATAAATCATAATTATAGTTTTTTTTAAATATCAATACATTATACCTGCACAAATTGTTGGGTTCGGAATTTGTTTTCCTTGTCTTTTAAATACAGAGGATGAAACCACTCAAATAAAGAATGGTACAATCCAACATGTAGGTTTCTTTTACGAAGTGCTGTACTCAGTTCACCTGAAAGATATATATCTCTCACAACACAAATGTTTCTCAGTGGTGACAAATTAAATGGACAGATCGTTGTTTTATATGTGTGGGATACACCTTATCGCTATTTATTCTGATCCGGATAGCTTCTAAAATTACACAACTTTTTCATCCAGTTGAAGCTATCTGGGGCCCTGTTAAAACAATGTATTATGCATAAAACTTTCAAAGAGAATTGTTTCAAAAACCATCGTGAACACTTTTTTTTACTTTAATTTGTGTTTAAAAAAGTGAACCACAATCTATCAAAGTTTCAAAATGTTTGCTTTCTAAACTTTTCCTCCCTTAGCTCCCCTTACTGTAAAAAATCAGCCCCCTTCAAATATTTGCCGTAAGTCTGCAGCGAACTTGCTGCAGACTTGCATCGAACACATAGTCTGTATTTGCGGCATGTAAGCTGAAAATGTGCTACAGGTCTGCTGCAAACAATTTACCATGCAAATGAGTGTTTGCTGCAGACCTACAGCAAACATTTATATGCAAATGAGTGATTGCTGCAGACCTGCTGCAAACATTCTTATGCAAATTAACCTTTCTCCTGTGTGTTTGCTGCACACCTGCGGCAAACATTTATATGCAGATTAGTCTTTCTCCTGCGTGTTTGCTGCAAACTTGCAGAAACTACATACATTATACAATTAACCAATGTCATGTTGTGTACACATCACATTTATTTATCTATATTACACAGCAAATTCTGAAAAAGTTAGGTTACATACAATAATTCAAATACTTAATCATTTGCAAAATTATCATAGCATAATTAGTAAATACCTTTTAAGAAATAATTTAAAGTTATTTTGTTATTTAAATGCTCAAAAGAATTGCATATATAAAATACAAAAGAATGGTTTATTTGAAATGCATTTTGTGCATACAGCTAGTTCAATTAATTTTATCACAAAATTCAACTCGACTTATTGAAACATAATATTTAATCTTAGTAAAAAATAAAGTAAAAATCTCCAAACATATTAGAGAGTACTGTATATTTGTTACATGTTTGCAAATGTTTTTCAAACCTTCATACAGGTATATTTGTGGAGGGAACGAATTTCATAAGTTTACAGTTCTATGAAGAATTTGTACTTACAAATAATGTCTGAATACTAAACATTTAATACCCCACCTACAACGCCTCCCTGAACACTAATATATAACATGACTCAAACACCATCAACATAATTATAAGCATCAAATTTCAAATTTTTATCTTCCAGGAAGTTACAAATAGACATGATCTGTCATTTTATGTAATTCTTGCAATGCTCTTGCAAACATATAGAATTGTCAAAGATTTCTGCAATCTAGATGTGAACATCCCTTATATTCTAGTTTTTTCCTGCAAACATAATTGTTTCTGCAAACTTGCCGCAAGCTTGCAGCAAAAAGCTGCAATGTTTGCATGAGGTTTGCTAGCTGCAAACATCTGCAAACTCTTTGTTACAGATCTGCAGCAAACATTTCAGTTCTGTAAGGGTCGTTACTGATGACCTTTGTTTTTGCAACACTTGACCCAAGCAGGAAATTGTCTAAGTGACTGTTTTTTTCCGGATTGGACTAAATAGTGATAAGGTGTATGGACTGAGAGGGATAATAGAAGTTAGTGATCAAACTTATATGTTATGCAAAGCAGTGGGACGACTTCCATTATATGTATTTCATTTACAGGGTCCATATAGAAAAGTTTGTTTAACATTGTCGAATTTAAATGTTTTAAAAATATTATATTTGTAGGACTCTGAACCGCGATGGTACTCCAAACCGCGATGATCACTCTAAGGTGCGATGGTTGGACGCTAAGGTGCGTTTTTGGTCACGCTGAAGTGCGATGGTGGCATTGTGACGATATCTTGTTGATAGCTACGCTGAAGCGCGATGATGGTAACGCTGAAGTGCGATGGACTACATAAAACATATTTTCAAGGGAGGAGAGTGGAAATTTAACCTTCTGTAGCGGATTTTCTTCAAAATCTACAAAAGGTTCTTTTTACGTACGATGGAGCGTAGCATTCTCTAAATACATACGGGTCCCCTGACAGCCTCGGACTCTCCGTATTATAATATTATGGTAAACAAGGTAATGAGAGGAACCAAGTAAAGATAACATGTTTCTGCAGAATTTTCTTCACACTCATTTAGTATGCAACTGTAACTAAGGACATACATAGACTGCAAATTTATCTACCAACTATTAAAAAAATCTACTTCTCATAATAATTGCACATCTGCAGATTTAACTAGCCATCACGCGTCTTATAGACCATCGCACGGACCATCGCACTTTGGCGCAGACCATCACACTTCAGCGTGATCATCGCACTTCAGGGTTCCCATCGCACCTCCGAGTCCTACATATTTTTCACTTAAAAAATATTTTTCAATATTTTGGAAAGTATCAACAGGATCAAACCCTTGCTGTTGAAAATAATTTGTATAAAATATATACTTTTTTTCTTTGCATTGAAGGATATAAAACAATCAAAGTTCTTATGAGCACTAAAGGGTAAAGATTGAATTCATTTTGTAGTGGGAACTAATATTAAACATTCATTGTATTAAGCAATGGAAGGCAATAATTTGGATTGAAGATATCTTCTTTTGGCCATAAGTGTACTTGGTTCAACTATAATTATAGACAAAGGAAGATAACTTCAATTCTATACATTACTTTTCATTGCTATATTCAGAACAGATAGATTCATGCACCATACATGTACGCTTCTTATGTAATTTTCAATGAAATAGTTTCCTTAACAAGTATTGTTATCCTCATAATTTTGTAACTTGAATATCTGAGTATATATTTCATTGATAAATTGCTTAACATATACATGGATAGGATGTATAGAATGCACACCTCAATTCACAATGTGTTTGTGCTACAAAAAGTAGTGATGAGATCTCGACAATTTAACTATCAAGTCAGTCCTATTAGGGTTTTTTGATTGCATGATATGCAATCTTTACCCCAAAGACAATACTGTTCTACTCATTCTAATTTAAAATATCTTTATAAGCTTATATATATGATATAGTAAATCTTAGTGTAAACTTTAGGAAAATGACACAATTTGTAAAATAAATATATATATGTGGAAGCTGGACTTACCTGTTATAAAAAAAAGTTGATTAGAAACAGTTATACATTTCCACTGAGATTTTATTGAGAAAGCACTGGATTACTTATGCATAGACCATATTGAACATTTGTATTAATAAAATCGACAGTACAAAATTTTACTACAGCAGCTACATATTTTGACAATTAATGTCTCTTCAGTGATACTCGAGGCCAAAATATTTGAAATAAAAAAACTAACACTAACATTGAAGAATTGATCAAACCAAAAGGAACCTAAACTTTAGCCAAATCTTGACAAGGAATCAGAGCTTTGCATAAAGGATATATATTCCTTAATTTCAAAAATTTTATAACAGAAAACATTTTCTTGCCAGAAACAAAGTACTGTCATGACTGGCTACTGGGCTGGTGATACCCTTGGGGACTAACAGTCCATCAGCAGAGGCAGCAGTGGTAGTAATAATATTTACGCACAAAGATTTTCAAGTTTTAATAATGTAATTTCAATATAAGTTGCAAATATATCCATATACTACTTTTTCTCTCTAAATTAAAACTTACCAACAAGGTCTCTCTTTGGTCCAACAGCCATGGAATTCCAATTAAAAGAATAATTGGATGGCCAGTTAGTATATCCTTCATGATGCTTAGATGTGAAAACAACATATCTGTGTGTAAATAATAACATAATAGTACTAATACAATAAAATTCTACTGTTTACACAAAATGTACATTGTACATCAGAATAACAGTAAAATAAGCATACATGTAGCACTAAACTTGTATTTTTGGCATATATGGGTGATTTAACTTACATATTTACAGATGAGACTTAAGTTTATTTACAAATAAAGAAAGATTGTTCTAATATGATGATGAACAGATTCCATATTTTTACAAGAGCTGAGGATTTTGAAAGTTTATAAATGTACAAGTAGATGAAATTTTAGTGTGTTAATTTTTTATAAAAAGAATATATATATTTTCAGCTTGAATGTTGCATTTCTATACATTTATAAGCAAATAATACAATAAAATTTCAGGATTCAAATATTTGAAATGATACCTAGTAACCAGATTAATGTGACAATGCTGAAAAAATAATAATAAGCAAGTCATTTTGTACAATCATCATTTTCATTGTTGAAACTGGCATCAATTTTGTACCATGACAAAAGCAACCACGCAGTATATGCAACTTTATTGTCCCACAAAAACATAGAAGATGATAGAAATAGTATGCAAGTAGTGACGGTAATCATCCTATATGGTACAAACTCATGGCATACACAGAGGTTGTCTACATTGTATGGTATGAAATATCGTACAAATGCAATGATAATGGCTACCAAATGGTCTGTTAATTGCACATAAGGCAATGGTAAAATATGGTTATGCCTATGGGAAATGTATGAAAATGCTAAAAATAAAATAACACTGAACACATGTACGCTCCCTTATGTAACCATGCACTATAACTAACCTTGCGCCGGATGTGTTGAATATATCTGCCCATTGATCTGCATTGAAAAATTCTGCTGTAAATTTTGGAGCAAAATCTGCATATGTAAAACGTGGTCTATAGTTTTTCTTCATAAATTCCACAGTATTATTGTATTTTGCTCCTTGCCAATCCCACCAAAACCATTCTGATCGAAAACTTGGGACTGAAAACACTCCCCAATGGACAAATATTCCTATTTTTGCTTCATCATACCACTTTGGTAAGGGTCTTTTGTCTAAATCGTCCCAGTTTGGTTTATAGATTTCATATTTATCACCTTTTGGTTTTTGTTGATTGGTGACCTTTGGGTTATTTGGTTTTATTTTAAAGGCAACATTCGAACTGACAGCTTCCTGTTCCACTACATAATTATTTTTGATACTATTATAAATGCCCTGCTCATGGAAGGAAGCGACATATGAAGTCAAACATGTAAAAAGAATAAGTCTAACACTTACACCCATTTTGGTATATCATTTGTTTACATAAATTGGTTACTTCCCCTCTCGTGAAAGATATAAAATGTGTGCTGCTTAGTCCCGTAAACATAATTATTGATCAGACAGATAAAAGCATAAAAGATTTATTTAAAGTCGGGTATACATATAACAATACAACATAAGCTCTGTAGAGCTTTTAACCGGCATACATATGATAAACACAAGACATAAAAGACATAAAACAGAAAGCACATCATGCAAAGCATAAATACTGGTATCAAAGCACAGCAAATTATAGCTAATAATAAGCAAGTCAAAGCATATAAAAGCAAACATAAAATGCAGACAAACTGACATTCATACAGTAGTTATCAAGCACTAAAAGAATTTTAAGCATTTAGAACAAAATAAAAAAGCATGCCGACGGTGAAACAAAAATATAAAAGCCAGAGTATTTAAGATAAATAAATGTTCTACAGCCCACTGCGATTTGCAGGAGGAACACTGACACGAACTGTCTTCTAATAACCAACCAAACTTTTGATCTGATCACCCAAAGGCATTTCTTCCCTCATCTTATTCGGCAGCTCGTTCCAGAGTTTGGCTCCTGCATATCTGAATGAGTGTAGCCCATGGGTAGTTGTCCCCAAGGAGGTTGTCCTTACCCTGGGAACAGCAGCTATATTGTAATTCTGAAAGAGTAACCACAGCTTTTAATTTCAATAAGATCATGTAAATACAGTGGACATTGTTAAATAACAATTTTATATACCTCTATTGCTATCATTCTAATTCTTCTGATTTTTAAACTTGGTAATTTTGATTTAGTTAACAGTTGTTGATAAGTGCTACACCAATCTTCATAAATAAATCTTTTGGCACGTTCCTGTATTTTCTCTATTTTTCTGGTATTACAATCACCACTAAAAATGCCATACTACTGGACAATAATTAAAATTTGACATTATAAATGAATAATAATAGTAAGTCTACATAATTTCATCAAATTTTTACCAATACGTTTATAAGTACATGTAACTGTCTTGATGCTTTTTTGCAAAATATTAGAAATATGAGCATGCTGGTAATCAATAGTTACACCAAGTAGATTCACTTCTTTTTCACAATATATAATATTGCCATCTAAATTAAAAGAAATATTTTTATTTTCAGTTGTCTTGCCAATGGCTATTGCCTGAAACTTGTCAGGGTTGGCCTTCATATGATTTAAACTAAACCTATCAATAAGCTCTAAGCTCTTTTTTTCTAAAATATTTACAACATTGTCTTTATTAGAATGTGAATATGACAAAGTATTGTCATCTGCATGATTATATAATGAGCTGCATGTTACAAAATGGAAAATATCATTCAACAAAGTGTTGAAAAGTACAGGTCCTAATATAGAGCCTTGTGGCACACCTTTATATACTTATATCTATACCAACTTTTACACATTGTTTTCTTTTACTTAAATAGCTACCTATCAAGCTTAAAGCTGATTCAGATAATCCATATGCCTTCAGTTTCAAAATTAATAAATTATAAGGAAGGCAGTCGAAGGCTTTCGAGAGGTCCATTAACACAGCAACAATATATTGATTATTACCAGTAGCCATTTTCCAATCCTCAATAATTTTTAAAAGTGCTGCCTGGCAGCCGTATCCTACTCTAAAGGCAGATAAATATGGATGAAATATATTTTGAAAGAAATCAACTACACTGTTGGAAGATGGCTCTCTCGAAAAACTTTGACACAACAGGTAAAATACTGCCCAACTTCAAGTTGACTATTTCTCTTATGAAGTGGCACCACTTGAGCCTCTTTTAGTTTGTCCGGAAATACATAGTGCTCGATCGATTTGTTTATTAATTTTGTTATTGATGTCACAACTGCTGGCTTTGCCAATTTCAGTATTTTAACGATAGCCCATCTTTACCTGTTGCTTTATTTACACCAAGTTTGTTTATTTGTTTTTCTACAATTTTTTCTTCAGTCTATACATTTATATACTAAATTACCTTCAACTCTGCAATTATTGTTAATAGCTTTTACACTAGGGTGGTTCTGATCTACAGCACAGTCTGATCCAATAAAGGCAACAGTAGTATACCGTATACAAATTCAATGGGTCCAAAATATCTTTTGCTATATTTACAAAGAAATCGACTCATTTGAAATATTAGCAACCTTTGACTGATCATTTATAATGTTATCGTTGTCACATAAAATAATGTTATTCTCAAAATAACTACCTTTGTTTGTTTAAAAATGGTTTGATGGTGGGCAAAAAGGCTTTGCTTTTGGTCCACCTACACAACGCTCTATAAAATAATTTCTAACTGATTGACGCTTGATTTTGCTTATATTAGATTTTTGTAGCAAAATATCTTCTTTTGGTAAAGCCTCAGCTTATATCTAAATGATTAATTACAAGATATGCAAGTGAGACTCTTAATTTATGCATTTGATTTAATTCAATGTTATTTCACTCAATGTTCATTAAAATAAATCAATTTAATATAGAATCAAAACTGTTTAAATAAAACAATCTTATATAAAATAAAAAACTATTTTTTAGCATTAAATATCTTTTAATCAACTAGCCTAATCATTTTTTTTAAAGTTGTTTCCTCATTGACATTAGATTAATTGATTACAGTCGCTTAACATGCAGTGGCGAATATATCATGAATATTTAGGACGAGAACGAATAAATACAATAGAAAGACAAAGCGGTCGACAGTGATGAAGTACGGCAATTTCTACTTCTAAAATGAGGATTGGACGTGGCAGCGTAATTATACATCCCGCACAGTCATACGGACTCCCTCTATCGGATGAAGAAAGTTCAGTGTTTCTATACCCCAGCCAACCACAAGGCTGTCACTGACATAAGAATAAAAATCATAACAAAATAGAAGAAGATGTGAAAAGGTGCTTTTGGACTCATTGAATTTGATTGCTTGATTGATTGTTGTCGATTGCCAGGTTCAATCCACCATTTTCTACATAAGAAAATGCCTGTACCAAGTCAGGAATTTGACAGTTGTTATCCATTCGTTTGATGTGTTTGTTTTTTGGATTTTGCCATTTGATTGAGGACTTTCCTTTTTGAATTTTCCTCGGAGTTCAGTATTTTTGTGATTTTACTTTTGAACGTCCAGTGGCAAATATTTTATACATAGTTTGGACCATTGAAATCGAAGATAAACGGATAACATCCTTCAGGTGTTTATAAGATACTAGTCTGTCAAATATTTCTGCTTATTTTTTTTTTCATTTTGTCATAAATATTTTCTTTACAGTAAGTTTTAAAACTTGCGAGGCTGCATAAATTCAGAGCCTGACTTGCATATCTTGTAATTAATAATTTAGATATGAGCTGAGGCTTTACCAAAAGAAGACATTTTGCTTCAAAAATCTAATATGAATATGTTCTGAATGTGGGTAAAATATCTATTTGGATTAGGATTGGCTCATGATTTAATCTTCAAATTTGAATAAAACGGCCATTTTAGGTAAAATATGTCAACTATCACATATTTTTTTTACATCATTAGGATTTCAAAAATGACATTTCTTTCCTATTGATTCCCAGATCATACCATCTTATTTATTTATCAATAAAATGATCATAATTTCAAAGGCTTAATTGTGTAATATCAACGTGAGGCCAGATAACGACTCATGTCATACCTATTAGTAACTTAAGAGTAAAAAAAACATCATACTTCAATTGTTGTACAATTACTTTATTTAGATAAAGAAACGTTCAATAAATGTTCTGCAGAAAATATGTTCTTAGTGTTACTACGAAAAACCGGCGAACGAGTGTTACGGTAAGTGATACCAGTATCTGGCGATAAACGCCTTGAGGAACATGCCGAAGTAGTATAACAAAAATACCGAACTCCAAGGTAAGTCCACAAAAATTGGCAAAATCATACGTTATCAACCAACGGAACGAGTTGAAATATACTGTCATATTCCTGATTTGGAACAGGCATTTCCAGAAGAAAATGGTGGGTTAAACCTGGTTTTAACTTCGTACTTTATTCGGCCTTTTTTTTTTACTTTTTTGATTTGAGCGTCACTGGTGAGTCTTTTGTAGACAAAACGCGGGTCTGGTGTACAAAATGTTAATCCTGGTATCTATAATGAATATTTTTATAGCTAGCTAAACCTTCCACTTGTATGACACTTGTTTATAGTTCAATTAAATAGACAAAATTGGGTGAGCACTTTAAAGGTTAATGTGACACTTACTGTGATCCAGCAGCCAACATACATCACGGACATACAACACAACTGACTAAAAAATTAAAACAAACATACAAATAAATCTAACAAAGACACCAACAATTAAAAAAGAGTTGTAGTTGATAGTAGATTGACAAAACCCCAATACAAAATTTTTTGTATTTATTTGTACATACCGTATACAGTATACACTTTTTAAAGTACAAATTAAGTACAATATAAATATACGGGTAAACCAAATGGAAACAAAACTGTAAAAACAAACCTCTTGCGTCCGAATCGCACCTGAATCAGGAACGCCCAAAGTCAAAAACCCGATACCGGGATGCATAAATACCGAGTTACGTCAAAAGTCATACAACCAAAAGGAACATAATAGCACAAAGACAAATAAAGGAAAAACCGTAAAGTAAATAAAAAAATACACAACTTCAGCACCTTGAATCTATAACCGAAGACCCTCTTGTTTTAGATACAAGTGGGAGGTTTAGCTACTTAAACCAGTTTCAACCCACCATTTCAGTCTTCGGAAAATACAGAGTATGTTACATATATGTGATGGTTTTATTGAAGACGAAGCGCATGGTTTATTGAGATGTCCTCTTTATGACGATTTTAGAAACCATTTATATTATGCTATTGAGACTTTTAATGACAATTTTGATACTCAAGATGACAACCAAAATTTAGTGTTTTTATTCTCAGATGCAAATATGATACGTACGTGTGTGTGTACCAAAACCTGTCATTTTATTTGAAGAAAACGTAGAAATTTTATTTATTGTAAATATTACTTTATTTTGTACTGTTTAATGTAGTATAGATATGCATTTTAATAGTATCTTATAATTCTGTATAGAATGGCTGTCATTTCAGATTGTTTTACAATTTATAAATATGATCGAGTGTACTTGTTTCAGAGATGAGACTTTAATAAAACATTGAATTGAATTGAATTATAATATTGAATATTATTTATCTATTATGTATTGGTACTTTCCGATGAACTTTTTGAGAAAAAGGACGAGACGTTCTTTGACAAAACATTAATTTTTTGCTCAGACACCGATGACGTTTTACAAAGTCTGTGTAGCAGCTGCAAGCTCTTGAATATGTATGAGTTTAGAAATGCATACTCCAAACGCGGGTGAAGTTGGTATATTGCTGTTAAAGTGAGGACAATTTATAAATTCAAAATTGATATCGTCTCGTTTGTCATAGATTCTGGTACTGAGATGAATGATGTTGCAAAAAAAAAAAACACGAAATCATTATATTTTTCTATGTAATATTTTGTTGGTGGTTGTCTGTTTTCTGTTGTGTATATAAGACTGTTATATGCATTAATTACTGCGAAATACTGAAGCACTGACTGCTTAGCAGATGATAACTTCTAATAGATATAGGAAGATGTGGTATGAGTGCCAAAGAGACAACTCTCCATCCAAGTTACAATTTATAAAAGTAAAAAACCATTATAGGTCAAGGTACGGCCTTCAACATGGAGCATTGGCTCACATCGAACAGCAAGCTATAAAGGGCCCCAAAAAATTACTAGTGTAAAACCATTCAAACGGAAAAACCAACGGTCTAATCTATATAAAAGCGAGAAACGAGAAACACGTATGAACTACATAAACAGACGACAACTACTGTAATCAGATTCCTGACTTAGGACAGGTGCAAACATTTGCAGCGGGATTACACGTTTTAATGGTACCAAACCTTCTCCCTTTTCTGAAACAATAGTATAACATCACAACATAGAAAAACACACTATAAAATATCAATTGGAAGGCTTAACTCAATCAAAAAACGTAAATTAACACACAATGAACGAATAAATTTGACCTGTGACACCTGAATGCAAATTCACAGTTAATAAAAAAATTACAAGGGATAAATAATTAAAGTCAAACGTAAATAAACAGGTTTAAACAAAGTTAAAGTATGATATCACTGTGAAATATCAAACAATTTTTAGAAAATCATCACTTTTGAAGAAACCTGTGTCATATTATACACAGGTAAATGAAAATAATTTTGTTGTTAAGTATACTTCTTCTTCTGTGTGTAAAAAATCTTCCATTTAGGAATACCAAGAAATTTCTTTAATATCAATAAAACTAATCTTGGTACATATGGGGTGAATATCAACAATAAAACTATACAATTAGTGCTAGATAAAACTTCCTGTACCGGTCCAAGAACAGCATCTAAGGAAAAATGAAATAATTTTGATGTTCATAGTACGAAGAAGTGAAAATTTATAGTAATATCAAATAATCAAAGCTGGTATATAGACAAGATCCATGTTAACATTTAATAACAAAAAAGCATTACAAATAGTATCAACAGGTCAAATTAAAAAGAAAGTACGATTTGAGAGTACTCGCAGTAACTGACAGCTAGTTAAAAGCCAAAACAATTAATAATAAAAAATCATGCATCATAGACTAAAATCAACTAAAATACATTCCAGGGATTTAGTATTTTAACGTCATGAACAGTCAAAGAAGACATGACTTGTGCAATGCCAAAAATAAATCAAAACGTGTTCCAAGACCATCAACAGTTTTATCGACCCAGTGAAAGAAAACGAAAATACCACTTTAAAAATTGGATCCGTCCGAAGCTCCTTTCTGGATTATCGTTATCAGGAACATCCAAACCACAAAAAAGAATGAAAGTCAACGATGTACAAGTATTTGTACAAGTGAAGAGCTATTTGACCGAAAAGGGACAATAAAAATCCATAAAAGGTAAACTTTTGAAAAACCGAAAAAAAAAAATTATGTAAAATTTTAGAAAGGTATGCCATAAATCATGTCAGTTCCGAAACACAGACTGCAGAGCTAGAATTAATCAATCAATTAATTGATTGATGTTTAACGCCACTTTCAGCACCATTGTGTTATTTCTTGGCGGTCAGTTTTTATTGGTGAGAGGAAGCCGGAGTGCCTGCAGCTGAGCTAGGAGACTAGCAGTCCACCAGCAGCGGTATAGCTCCAGTGTTAAAAAATTAAATTAAAAATATATAAATGTTGTGCGTCCGAAGGTCTTTATCGGATTTACCGTAATAAAGAACACTAAAACCCCGAACAATAAAGCCAAGAATGAAAAGTACTTGAACAGTGACAAAATACGTATTAAATCTGTAGGTACTTTCGGACAGGACAATTTTTTAGCCCGCCCCTTTTATCCAAAATCCGTTATTTTTTTCTTTTCTGTTAATTTCAATTATTTTTGCGTTTTCCTGTTCAGGGACCGCTGTGGATAGTAAACTTGGAATTCATAGTAACTAGCAAATACAAGTTGTTTCTAGTATATTTATGTTCATATGATACAGAAAAACGCAGAAATAATTGAAATTAATAGAAAACGAAAAATAACGAATTATGGAAAAAAGGGGGAGGGCTAGAATGTACCTATGATTAAATCCAGTTTAAACCGAAAAATCATGTTTTATTTATAGTTCCAAATTGTCAGTAAGTAATTCTGCTGACAAATAAATAAAATTATGTTTCTTCAAAGTGATTTCACTTAAAAAAACAAAGCTGTAATTTAGTTACAAGTTCTACTGTGGCCAAACTTTGGTTAATCGTAATTGTGTCACAATTTCTCAACTTACTAGTGACATTTTAACTCTGGTATAATGTCCACTATTGCCCACTGAAATTGTTACCCGTTTTGTCATGTTCCTGGGGTTGACACTATTTACTAAACGTGACTTTAGAATTGTGAGACGAGTGATGCATGCATAACAGCAGATGATTACTTATTCACACATGGTTTCACTCCAACTAGACCTTATTTAATTCCATTGTTCCCTTCCGTCTTTTTCTGTAACTAGATTTGTACTGCACATCCATGTTCTACTCTTATATACACGTATTACCATTACCTCTCATTTACATGCACTTGTAATTTGAGCAAAGAACTTATGTTGGAGAAAAATCAAAAGTTATCATGCTATCACACATCAATATTGCAATCTTTTTTTTATACGTTAAATAATGTCAGTTGATAATAACTCATAAAGAAAGATTTGATACATTTTGTTATTTTAACCCATTATTATAATTTAAAAAAAACGCAAAATATAACAACTGCATGATTTTTTTTCCCTCACATAAAACCATGTGAATGGCAGAACTTTTTTAGAGTACATCCAAGACATTATGTAGTTGCAATATCAACGATTATATTGACAAATCTTTGATTGTCCGAGAAACCATACCACTAACAGACATTTGACAAAAATAAAACTAAATCATGCCAAATAACAAACACAAACAGATTGATTGTTCCTTACTGAACGTCAAATATTAAATGCAACAAATATCGATAAAAAATATCAAACGAATGTTAAATTTAAGTCGTCCTGGTGTAGGGGTATGCATCGTGGGTCTATATGCTAAAGGTCTTGAGTTCGAATCCCAGTATACACACTTGATTTTTTCTACATAAATTTTGATAGTTAGTCTTTTTCGTATAAATATTTCTGAGCTACCTTCTAAAATAATTAATGCAGAGCTCTTCAAAATTGACAAAGAACATTCAGAAAAGAACGATTTGAAATATGTTCAATCTATGTACAGAGAAACTGCCGGTCCCAAGCCCGGATAGAGGAGGAATGAAGTCAATTATTTATTTGATATATAATGTAAAAATAAATAATTTCACAAAATTGGTGCAATTAGATGATTTTTTTATTGGCGCAAATGATACCTATAGTTTTTAAAATGAAGTGGCGCAGAAGTAGCATTGGCGCAAATAAGTTGTGGTGCAAATGAGTTCTTTTTTGGCGCAAAAAGATATCGCCCAAATCATTTAAAATGTCATTTCATAAATAGATTTTTATGTGGTTTATACATATATATACTTTATCATCAAAATTAATATATAGAAAAAATAAAATTAAAAAGGAGATACCAAGGGGACATTCAAAACTCATTAAGCGAAAATTAATTGACAACGCCATGACAAAAATATAAATAAATATATAAATATAATATAGATTATTGCATGTAAATAATCAGCTTTTAAAACAAATGAAAATGTTTAATATGGTTAATCTCATTTTTTTAACAGTGAACAGCCTATTAATTTTAAGGCCATCTGAAATGTCTGAACATACATACAGCAAGTCTCATTATTGTAAGTTGCTTTTTCAGATCATTTATATTGCAGATGATCATATATGTGTCTTATTTCAAACCCCGACTAGTGAAAATGTAGACGTTTGGCGATTCCAGTAAAAATGCAATTTCTAAGAATTGACCCATGTCAGTTTAAACTCTTGGATATCGTAATACAACATTGTAATAACGATTTTTTATGTGTGCATGACTAAAAAATAAGGCAATTACTGGCTAAAACAAACATATGTAAATTAAAAATTATTCCAACACAAGTTTACATAGTTTACTACTGTATATGCAAAAAGTATTCTTCTCTAGTTAATATAAACAAAATATATGACTATGTCACCAAACTTGCAGTAAATAGAAATAAATTAGATCATAAAAACACATATTAACCAAACCCACAATACTCAAACAATACGTTATGAACATACTTATGAATGCACATTTACTGATAAAACGATGAAAAGTAACATAAAAGACATCGTTTTATTTTTTTTTAAAATAATTTCAATGATTATTTAGACTGTGCTAATCATTTGTCAATCGATATTTCAAATAACAGACACATTAATGCCGAGAAAGACAGGCACCACGATTTAGCATGCAGTATCATAATTTCCCATGGTTGAATATTCAGTACAAGTCTATCTAAATCGTCTTGATTCAACCGTTTGTCATGTGTATTTCTAGCATCATGCATAATTCTGTCTGCACTACTACTGTAAAACTGAATCATCAGAATTACAATTTATATCACGTCTGCAAAGGATATAACATTGCAGTCGCTTTAAAATTGCAATAAGTGGTTATTTCTCAAAGTAACATATATATCGCTATAATTCAGCCTATTATAATTTTGTTTTGAGATTCGAAAGCAGTGTAAATTATGTTTTGATATCACACAGAGTGCATTGAACAAACCAATCAGTAATAATAAAATTTCCAGAAATTCGTATGACTTCATACGAAGTTTTTAACGTAGGGATTACATTTTTAATTATATGTATTAAAACCTAATGTTTTGAGTTTATTTACATTTTAGCAAAATTTAAATACTTATAAATTTAATATTACAATAGAAAAACGAACACCTTTCTACAAACGAGTAAAAATAACAAAAAAAGATTCATGTCTATAAAGAGTTCATAGTTCATTCTTACCAACAAAAAAAAACGATTACAATATTTTAATAAATAAAAGCAACTGTCATGAAAAAAACTTATCAAAGATGCCATGCTTATAAGACACTGGTCAGTCTGACTACATTAGGACACGCAGATACATTTCCACATGTTTAAAGCAGAAATTGACTGTGAACTAGAAAGTCCTTTTTGCATGTTTTACTTGCTTAACGTTGTGCATGTTCAGGACAAGAAACCAGTAACAACTAATACAATGGTAGGCCGATCGGAATGAAAGGCGAGACACTTGATGAATTTTTACTGAAAATGAGGGTATTTTTTATAGGAATAGGAATTTAGCCTTGCAATAGGGCACCTCAAAGAGTTGATACAAGGGTTCTTTATCGTGCAGAAAGCGTTGCACTCTCTCTGCACGAGGCAAAGTATTTAACGTCCCTTTTCCAACCGGACGTGTATGCGTATTTATACACCCCACACAGCCGTCATACTTTAGTTAGGGTTTTACTGATCTTTCATTTGCTGCAAGACGAATCACCTGATTCCGTCATATGTTTCCAATTTATGCAAAAGCAACCCGAGAGTATATTAATTAGCTTCACACACTTACTAAATCGACATTAATTATACACGAGGCAAGTGTGCTTGTAGAAAACAGTAATTTGCAAATGTAGTTTAACTGAAAAAGTAGTTGACATCATATATTATATATGTGAATAATTCAAAGAAATCAGAAAGTGAAAATAAAATATTTAAGAATTGAATGCTTCTTTTTGTAATTTTATTGGGGGTGTAAAAGCTTTGACCGAGAATATTTTGTATGAAGTGCGGTAAACAGCAACATGCATTTCAAAAAAGAGGAGGACGATACCGGCTTCAAAACTGATTAGTCGAAGAAAAAATTACAATGCCATGGCAAAAAAACAAAATAGATCAAAATGACAAAAAAATCCACAAAACACTACATAGAAAACCAAACACTGGACAACACGAACACCACCAAAACACTACATAGAAAACCAAACACTGGACAACACGAACACCACCAAAACACTACATAGAAAACCAAACACTGGACAACACGAACACTACCAGCAGTGTTTAAGAAGATCCTGTCGAAATCAGATAATGGCAAATCTATATTATTTTAAATGCATAAAATAGAAGCTGCCTGATGTATTATAGACATAACATTTTTTTATTTGCACATCAGAAGAAAAAAAAATATCCACATTAAAGAGCTACTGTCTTCAAAAAACATTTTCATTTTTATTTATGTATTTTGTCACAATTATAGACAGTATCCCTTTAAATGAAGAATAAGAAAAATCATGTATATAACATAAAAAAAGTTTGGCATCCTTATCAAAACTAAGAATTTGTAAGGCCTGACATTTTAAAAACCCATGCCCATTTACAAGGCATTTCTTTATATGGTATAAATGGAATGTCAATATGTATTCCTCCAGAGGGATCAGCAGTCCATTTCATTGGTGTGTTATAACCAAGCAGAGTAACATTTGTATTATCTCCAGTAATAGGCCCAGCTAACTGTAGCTTGTTATTATGTGGCCACTTTAATGCAATAGCATAAACCGATACGTTATCGTCAATGGTACGCCTGGTGTACCTACAATAAAATCGCAAATAAGTATTCCAATATTAATATTAAAATGTATGTTCAAAAAAAATATTTGTCACTTTTAAAAATTTTAGTTACGTTATATTTAAAAAAAATTGTTATCAGATGTAAAACATTTTGTAAAAGTTAGAAAAGAATAATTCATTGGTGATGTGAAACAAAATAATAGCAGCGTTACGTCTCAATACTAATCTAAAGCAAGAGTATGTGTCATATGGTCCTATGACTTAATGCCACACTTGCACTATCACTTTTCCATGTTCAGAAAACTGTGGCATCTTGGTCAAAACCCTAATTTGGCATATATCAAACAGTTCACTTAATGATAAGCATACGATCTAAGTTTCAAGTTGATGTGACCACAAACTATTTTCAACAAAAACTTTAACCTAACTTACACCAAAACCAAAACTTTAACCTAACTTAAACCAAAACTTTAACCTGGAACGGTACAATCGATGCGGGGCATACAACCTAGGATTTATAAAATTGAAGTACGATATTAAAAATTAAAAATACAATATTTCTTGTCACAAGAAATAAAATAGATACGTCTTTATATTTTTTTCTCGCATAGTATTAGTTTACGTTATCATACATGACAATTGTTGAGCCAAACAATCTTAGTATTTGAATATAGTACTCATTTGATTCTCAAAATAGGGAATCATTTACTATGATTGGACACAATCGATTACGATGGTTATATTTTTTACAGCATTTTCTTTTTTGGAAACATCGTATTCACCGAACTTTTTATGTAACAAATATCAACATCATGGCGGCTTACATGTTTTAATTCAACTCTAGATGCATCCGCAATAAAAAAAAAGTATGAAATCAACCTCGCTATGTGTGCATACTGGGTACCCGTAAAGGTATATTTCAAAACAAATGCTACAACAGTTCGGGATTAAACGTTCTGTTTTTAGTTTATTGGACTAATTTACACACCAACCTTATATCAGAGTACTAGGAAAACTATACGAAAACGAAAAGTTTGTGAGTGAACAATTGTTTGTTGGTCCAATAAACTCCAGAAAAATGAATTTAATCCAATATAAATTTATATTTTACAAGGAAAGTTTTTATTGGAAAAACATACTGACAATTTATACGACCGTATGTACATATGTATAAGCTTAGCCTTGTATTTCCATAGCACATGTGAAATTTTCCGTATTTATTAAAGACTATGTATGATCTTTGATGATTTTTAACAACCACTAGGTCGATGCCACTGCTGTTGGACGTTTTTTGGACGCGGGTATCACCAGCCCAGTAGTCGGCACTTTTGTGCTTGACATGACATATCATTGATATATTCATTTCCTGTAAATTAACTGTGTACGAAATGTTGAATTATTCGAAACGCCGAGGTTTTTCTACCCCAAGGCTTGCATTGCATAAGCCGTATTTGGCACAACTTTTCGGAATTTTTGGTTTTTAAATCTCTTAAGCTTTGTGATTTGTTTGACCTTCCAAATGTTTTAGTTTGCGCGCCACTAGTGAGTCTGATGCAGGTGACACGCGCTTCTAGCATACCAAATTATAAGCCTGGTCTTGATATTTATATTATTTTTTGTTTATGATACACACAAGATTTTTACTAGAACAAGAGGTTTACTTTGTTTTGCAATAGTTGTACTGAGGAAGATAGTGATATGCATCTATTTTTTTCCAATCAATGCTAATTTTTATTCATTAATATCAAGAATACTTGTATAAACGTTACATACCAAACATGTTGATTAACATCATCATTCTGGAAGTTCCACGGAACAGAAAAATAAATCGCGTCACCATTTACTTTCAACCATTCTCCCATTTGACTTAATCTTTCTAAATACACAGCAGCAATAGTGCCATCATGAGCTGGACCAATGTTTATTAAAATATTGCCACCGCAACTGAATAATGAATTATGTGAATTTTATATTGTTTTAAGGGTACCTTTTTATGTAGTTACTACCAATAAATAAAGGCAACAGTAGTATACCGGTGTTCAAATAAAAGAGGTTAATATAATGAGATTTCCTCCGTAAATATAAAGTGTGTTATAAGGTATTAGTCTACAAAGCAACATCATAGCAACGCAGAAAACCAAAAGACAACATCAGGTCAACATACAGACTAAAACAAAGGATGTATTTTGTGAGTTTGTTCAAAATGAATTCCTTTTATATTCTGAGGATGAAAAACATTTTTTGTTAGCGTGCTATTTTTATTCAGATTTATTACACGAATCAAAAAGCTAGTCATTTTTCTGATACGTAACGATCTTGATATACAAGACAAATGTGTTTTCTTAATGTCAACTTTTCAATTCAAACATTTTTAGCCAAAACTTGCATACTATGTTCTATCAAAGAAGGCATGGTGTGTATTCATATTTCTAATGCTAAAGTAGTATGAATTGTGTCATATTTTGAAAGTGTCTCATAAGTCAGTAATCCGGCTGGGAGCCCATATTTCAAAGGAAATATTTAATTTTAAATTGCATATTATGTAATTGTGTGATCATTGTGTTTTATATTGGTATGCGACTATAAAAAATTATACTGATTCTTTATTTTGTTATTCGAGAACTTATGTTATACCTATTTGCATTGGGTTTCTCATGTGCATAATGTCGATTTTATGAGTCAAGCCATTTCCAACTGATTTTTTTAGTTTATTTTTATGCTGTGTTGTTACACTTCTGTCCGAGGTTAAGGGAGGGTTGAGCGCACAAAAACATGTTAAATTACGCCACGTTCTGGGGTTTGTAATAAATACTTGTCGTAGGTTGCTTTCTGCACTTTTGTTTTAACATGAATTATCATTGATATGGTCATAATCATAAATTAACAGTTAACAAACCATTGAATATTATCGAAATACTAAGGATTTTTTAACCCCAAGATTAGATAACCGTAGCTGTATTTGGCAAAACCTTTCGTTATTTTTGGGTCCTCTATGCTCTTAAATTTTGTACTTTTATTATTTGGACTGTTCAGCTGTTTTTATTCGAGCGTCATTGATGAGTCTTTTGTAGAAGAAACGCGCGTTTGGCGTACACAATTGGAATTCTGATAACGATGAAGAGTTTATCTGCCACATTTATTTTCCATTTTGTTAGTTTATAATGAAAATCTAGTTATGGGTTTTTTATTTTGAAATGCGTCACATTTTATCATTCAAGGCCTGTTATAGTTCAATATATGGAGTGGGTTTTGCCGTGCAGTGCACTGTTGATATTAGCATCCTCGTCCTTTGGTCTCGTATGGATGGTTGTCTCATTGGAAATCGTGTCACATCTTCTTATTGATTATAAAAAATAGACAACGTATGCACGAAAAACATTAAGGTATTATTTGAATTACTTAGACATGTAAAATATATCAGAATGAATAATTGCTACTGCATTACATATAGGAAACCATGATACAATTATTCTCCTCTACAAAACTTTCTTTACTACTTATTCCGTTTTGTGTTGCCAAAACAAGATCTTTTATTAGAGCTTTCTTACAATTTGACGAAAGATACGTACGCTTGACGAATCATACGAAAGACCCGTTTGAGGGATCCTTTTTTTTACTTTTGAATTCTTTATATGTAACAATAATCAAGGCTGTCATGGGACTTATTTGGTGTTTCGCCTCACTGTTTGCACATCAAGGACCCTAACACTCATGCAACGACACATGTCAAACTTGAATTTTCATTAGACATAGGAATTTTGTGACGTACGATGTAAAAAAAATAATAAAACCATGGTGAAGGAGACAATTCTACACAATTTGCTTAACATAGACTTGTCAGTAAAAAATACACCATAACAAATTGTTCTCAACTGCATCCCCCAACCCCTAGCCCCCAAAAAAACTTCTTTGCATTTTTAACCTAAGAAAATACCAATGCAAATATAAAATACCACCGCCTAAAAAACACATTTCTCCCTAAATTGTAAATTTTGAAACCCTCCAAAATTGAAAAAAATTACACACAAAATATATTATAGGGCTTGCTTAATCATTTAGATGTCCAAATTTGTAATACATGTAAATGATCAAAACCAGATCCATAATTCTTTGATCTATGATTATAGGTCAAAGGCGAATTTAGGAGAGAGGTGCACCTGATGTGAAGCTACTAAGCAGACATATTCCTAGCCTACTATTCTAGCATTAGTCTATAATATGCACAATTAAGCCAGAGACGCTTTAACCGCAATAACTAAGTGTTTCAGTATAACTTGTTGTTTGATAATCTTTTTTGTTTTAGTCCATTTAACGTTTGTTTTGCCGTGTGGACTATAAAACGTTCATAGTGAACTATTTGCATTGATGCAGATGATCATCTATTTGTTAGTTATTGTCTCAGTTGTGTGTGAGGTTGTGCGTGTGTGTGTTGATTGTTCCTCTGGAATTGACACTGTATTTCACATATTCGTGTTCTGTGGATGCTAAATGCACCACTGATTGGTCCACACATAAAAAAAAAATGAATTCACGACGCTAAATAGAATCTGATCAAATCAGTTGTGCATTAACTGAAGATATGACTAGTTGAAAACAGACAAAAAAAAATTTTGGTAACACAAAGGCAACGACCATTTAACTTTCAAGGGGGATGGGGGTTTCGATCGCAAGTGTCGCAATATTTTCTGTTTGACCTTTAACCTTTACATAAATGGAAAAAACCTTCATCACAAAATTCTATTTTGTTTGTTTTTTTTCTTCTCCCAGATTTTTATTTTTATAAATATTTTCATTCATTGTAGTTTCTTGTAAATCTCGATGATGCACGTTTACAATTTTGCTGATGGCATACTCATTAATAAATAAATAATAATTGTAAATTTTGTCGTTAAATTTAGAGTATCATACTGCAAGAATTTCATTTGAATGTTAATGTTTAAACACTTAAAAAAAGCTTGCTTGAAGAATTCCCACGCAAATATGTGTAATCGTTGTTGACATAAGCAACGTATCTGACGTAAGTGTATATTTAACTATTTTTCTTAATTTTGAGATGTTAAATGCGTGTTTTATTTGCGATATGATGAAATTTTTAAAGATATACTTAACTCAGAAAAGAATGTCGTTTTAGCGGATAAAACATAGACTCTCAGTGTTTTTGTGGGAATGTAATGCATGCGCCCTTTATGTTCGTTCGTACCTTTCGTCAAAATGTAAGAAAGCTCTATTACAACTAAAATTTGGTATCATCGAGGTGTATCCAAGATCATCCAATGTTGCAAAAATTAGAAGTTGTTTCAACTCCCTAGCGACATGTGTTCATGGTCTTAGCTCTTTAGATACCAGAATAGTCTACTGGTCTATAATTTTAACTATTGTGTCCTATTCTCGATTGTGAAGTTTCGACTTAGTGAGAATCATTGCAGGTGATGCATGCATATCAGTAGAATATGTTGTATTTCCGAAATAGCTGGAAGCCCATAATTGATCATTATAATTTCGAAGGTCAAGAACTTGAAATCGTCAACTCTTAAATATATCTTGGAATGCTTTTACATTTCAATGGAAAATTTGTACAAACTCAAAAAAGAATTGCACAACAAGGAGCTAGAGCACTTGCATCTTTAATTAACTCAATGAAAAGAGTATTCATTAGACCAAGTCAAAAGAGTTTTTATTCAATAGTATGGGTGGATCTCTTTTGAACTATGCGTCTGGTACATGGGGATATCATCGGATCAAAGATGTAGAATCTGTTCATAATCGTTTTTTCGCCGCTTTATTCTCAACTTGGGTAAAACTGTACCAATTTCGTACTTTTGTGGAGAACTCGGGCACCTCCCGATGTGTATTTGAAGAAAATATAGAATTGTTAAACATTGGTTGCATTTAATTCATGATCAAACTAATATTGTTTACCATGTATACACAATGGTATTATTGATGCTGCTAATGGCCAAAAAAAATTGGGCATCCACTATACGAGTCCTTTAGTTTAGTTTAGGTTTGAATTACATATGCATTAACCACGATAACATAAATGTATCATTTGACTGTATTAAATCTCGTATCAACGATCATTGTTATCAAAGCTGGTATGCTAATATTAATGCTTGTGAAAAACTGTCTATCTATAAATGTTTAAATTTAGAGTTTTGTATAGAGAATTATTAACAATAGGATTTTAATAACAATATACTTACCAAATTACGTAGTGGAGGGTTAAAATTAAATTTAGAAAGTGGTCGCTATGACAATATTCCTAGAAACGACCTTATTTGTAGATGTTGTAAAATGAACAATATTGAAGATGAATATCATTTTGAGCTGATTTTCCTCTATATAGAACTCTTAGATGTATCTTTTTGCCAAAATAATTATTGTTCATGGCCAAATACACGAAAGCTATTTTTTTTTGTTACAAACTAGGTCTAAAAGCCCGAAAAAACTATGTAATTATTTAAAAGCGGCATAGAAATTAAGATCGCAAATTATCAGTTAATATGTTACAAAAATGTATGTGTTATTATATGTTATCTTTGCATTATTTAATAGTGTTCTGTACTCTGTCATATAATGTATATAGCTTGTTATTTTGCTAAAGTAATGTTATTGCTACACGTAATGCAATAAAGATTCATTCAATCTTAACATATTAAAATTAAAGTCATACCTATCATTACCTTATTGTTTCCACTATTGTCTGCAATAGTTTTTCTATAGTAAGATAATCATTAAGATTAGCTTCACGTCTGAACCCCCATGATTTTTCATCGATCGTCATACAATTTTCCCATTTTCTCTTCTGAAGAATACCTAAAAAATCATAACTATAAACCACTAAGTGATAAGGTGGACCTAAGCTAAGTGACAAGAAGACCCCTACTTATTACAAAACGATCACGGTTCCAACAAAGGACCAAAGGCACAGTAAGAAACCATTTATTATCCGAGCTTATGTTGTGCTCGATATAAAAACGTATTATACTGGTTTCTATGTTAACCAAAATCATGGTTGAACAGTAGCTTCCTACCCATTTTCCTCAATAAAATCCCAGCTTCTTTGTTTTCTTCTTACCATATAATGTTAAGTTGACTTATTGTGACTTGTAACAATTGATGAGGTTGGTTGCTCTTCTATCTTCGCAACTGATAGCAGGACTTCAGTTTTTAAAAGCACATCTGTGTCCCTCTAGTTTTGTAGTCATATAGCACATTTTACTTTAAAGTTAATATCCGTTCCAACTTTTACTAGACCCTAGTTGTCTGGCACTTTTCCCCATCTTACCTTTGATTCAACTCCCGTCATCTACTTATCTTCGTCAATTGAGTCAACTATTTCATATTCTTCTATATCTAGTTGGGAGCCTCGGTGGCCGAGTGGTCTAAGTAGGCGAACTACTGAATCAATAGCCTGTCGACACTGAGATTATGAGCTCGAATCCGGCACCTAATTCTGTCTGATGAACCGTAGGAAATGCGGTGAAACACTAACAGAAAATACAATATTCGATTAACAATGTGATGTTCTGTGTTTTTATTCTTAAATTATGTAATATATAATATGCTATAAAACCATGTGTAACCCACCATTTTCTTCAGAAAAATGCCTGTACTAAGTCATGGATATGATAGCTGTTTCCCAATCGTCCCTTTTGTTGATATACATGTAGTCTAACGTTTGATGGTGTAAGTTTTTATGGACTTCTTTCTTTTTGTATTTACCTTGAAGTACAGTATTTTTGTTCATTTTAAATATTGTATTCTAATGCTGAAATTAATCAGTTACACATAAAACAAGACAGTCTGAAAGAACACTCCGAAAATCAACACAGACTTAAAAGAACAAATCGACCCTCAAGCACCAGTAAAACTGACAAATATGTTTTTGAAAACCTTATCATACCTGGATTATATCTATCATTGCATCCAAGAAATCCTCCATGTTTACATCTTATAGACTTTCCCCATCGATCATTGGTCACCACCGTTTCTTTTACAGGACTGAAATACAGAAAAGCGTTACACTTTCATCAATACCTTCTTGATAATAATAAAAACACATGATTATTATACGTCAATGAAACAGGAAAATATTAAACAAAATGCATATGCAGATCAACCTACCGAAATGTAAAAAGTGAATGAATTTGATGGAAACTACTAAAATCTGTCATCTATACAAATGCATATAAAGGAGAAAACATAAATACATTTCAAGGCAACCACAACCGAGGTTGCTGGGAAGGAAAAATTAGCACGTGGTTGAGAAAAAAAAATGTTCAAGTACTTATCCCTTTTGTTTTAACCAAGACCAGTCGAAAAGCTAACTTAAATGAAATATAGAAGATTGTGATAGAAAAAGCCCTAAAGTCCATAATATTAAAAATAATAGCCTTTTTTTAACAAAATGGTCGTACAGTAAATCTAGTTGTTATTTTGTGTATATCTTTTGGTATAGTTTTGTAGTCGGTACAATCTTTTAAAATAAGATATACAAAAATACACTTATTCGACAAACAGAGAAATCATATAAACCATTTGAGTTTTGCTTGATAATATTTATGTTCATTTTGGAGATAAAATATACCTTCAAGTGATTGGTATTCCCTCGAGGACTAATTGTTCCCCGTTTGTTCAGATTTGACCATTTACTGTCATAAATCACAATTTATGGCAAAATTTCATTAAAGAGATCCAACCATGAAACTATCTAATTAAAAAAAAAAAAAGCAAAAAAGGACAATCATTTTCAACACCAGAATTCTGTGTGCAATTTTTTTTTCGAACTTATCATCTGTTACCCTTGAGACTTACCTTTTTAAAAGCAATTTGCATACAACGCTTCAGAGTATAAAGATTGAGACATGTTACTCCAGAACTGCATATTAAAAAACTTAAATAAAATGCATCTTGTGAATTTCTTATAGAATGTTGAAGTACACACCTTTACATTTGATACAACGCTCATACGCAGAATTTCAGAATTTGAGCACGTGTTTGACGGAGATTTCACACGTGATTGCAATGTGATTTTCGTAAGCTTTACAATCATCTTTTTGGGAAAATGCATTTTATTAAAGCTATATTATATTCTCCTTCATATCATGATAATACATGTGTTTAATTTGCACAATTGTATGTTTTGTGCAATTTTATGCAACAAGTTTTGGACAGAAATCATTTTAAGAAACGTGACACTAACTTGTACAACAATCATTTCCATTTCTTCAAATTAAACTAACCTGTCATTATAAAGCCATGCGATAAACTCAGTAGAATTCCAATAAGTATCTTCGGCTTCCCACTCGCCGTCAGACCAAATTATATCGGGTTTATAGACATTAACAAGTTCATGTAACTCCGGCAAAGTTTTCGCCTGAAATAAATAATTTCAACATAATTTTATTCACAACAAACTGACTATCATATATATTGCTAATATCGATAAATGGGGTATAGAAATATGGTTAACACTGGGCTTCTTCTGTACCGACAGTAAAACCGATGTTTAATTAGGGCCGTCCGGCTCTTCGTGATGTATATATACGCACAAAGTCCGTCGGATTGGAAACCTTAAATACTATGCCTCGTATAGGCAGAGTTACGCTCTCTGTACGTTAAAGAATCTGATAGGAACTTTTAGGGATCCGAATGTGTCTTGTTTTATGGCAAAATATCTGCCCCTGCCCAATTCTCATTTTCCGGTTGCAGTATAAATTTCCCACCCTTCATTCCGGTCGGCCTACTTTGCAGAACCTAACAATTGTATAACTTGTTAGTTTGTTCTTGTCCTGAATATTCAAAAAACAAATTTGCAACTGGGAGTTAAGCAGACTGGCAACCAATTAATCAAACGAAGGGTAAGCAGCTCCAGCTCCTACGGTAGAATTAGTCATGTTTTTCATCACAAGTACGATTAGCTTCGGTTCAGTAGCTTTATATCTAGCTATGCCATTAATATGAAAATTAGGAATAAGGTCGACAAAAAGAAAATCAAACTTAGCTCCCATGGCAACGCCGATAATGAGCTGAAAATTGTGTACTCACAGCAGTTTGGTGGCAATCAAAATGTCAAGCCTTTTGTTGATATCAAAAGTTGGGTATTCATTTTCTTACATACAGTAAGAGAAGACAAAGACTTTAAAGCATTGTTATGGTGTAAATTTCAGATAATATGAATTTTATTTTGTAAATTCAGTGGAAAAGGACAGTGATGTCCCTTAATAAAATCATCTTTGAGGAAAGAACAGAGCTTACCAAGTAATAAGCCTGTAGCAAATCAGGGAACCTCGCGAGTGGTTGTCTTTCTTTATGTATACCTTGATTGAGATTTTTTTAGATAATGTGATATTGATTATCTCTATTTGATTTACACATACATACTCAAAGACGATGTACAGCTTGACATGTGGTATGGACACTAGACTGTTGTTGATGAACGTCTTATTGGATTGCTGTGTTATATATACCATATCCATCCATTAAATTATAAACCCATATCTTCTTTTATTCGTATCATTGAAACATAAACAATCATACTTACCCTTACAAAATCTTGAGTTTTAAAATTGTTCCTTTTGTCTCTCAGATAAAGTGGATGAAACCACTCATACAAAGAATGGTACAGTCCAAATTTTAAATCTTTTTCACGTACTGCAGCACCAAGTTGACCTGGTAACCAAGAAATAAATATATAATCAAGAAAAGACTACAATAATTTAAAATGTGCCAAAAAATAACCCTAATCATCAATATCATCTTTGCTTATTTACTTACTTTTTATAATACATGTATTATAGAAAAAATAAAAAATATAAATACATATTGATTTCTTACCAACAAGATCTTTCTTTGGACCAATAGCCAATGCGTTCCAGCTGTAGGAATATGCAGATGGCCAATTGGTATACCCTTCATGATGCTTGGACGTAAGTACGACGTATCTGTAGAATAAAAGTTCATTGTTTCACATACAAGTTATTTTATAGCATCGTGTAATCATTTCAATAATAGAAACAGACTTATGCTGCTGTAATATCAAAACATTTATAAAATAACTCATCCAATAACTAACAATTATAACAAATATACTCAACGAGTGACCAAACAACACAACTGCAATTCGTCCACAAGTTAAGTATTTTCCGACATTTGGATTCTTGAATCAGTTATTCGCTTTAATTTATAGGCTTTAAATGTAAATAAAGCAGAAAATGCAAATAACTATATTTTTTCCTACGCGTTTTCCATTCGTTTTGATGCAGCGTCATTTACAAGTCTTCACAGCACCTATTCAAATTACATGATTTCTTTCACATGTGAGACTATCATTCTTTATTTGACTGTGAAATGAAAGTTTGGTACAGTGAAAAAATTGAATGCAATGTCTGATGAATTCTTTGTATTTTTTACCTCTTAGGCCCACGCCACTCAGTGTTGTCCAGTGTTACCAATATCCGTCCTTTCGTTATTCCTAAATCCAAAGTTGTCCAAATGTTTTGTCTTTATACATATAGATCAGAGTTAATTTGGTTGGCGTAACTGTGTAGGTTACAATACACCATTAGATTTTATGGGCGCAGCCATTTTATGAGCATCAACATGGTATTCAGAATTAAGAGTATAGCTAATCCTGATTGGTTGATATGTGCGCCCGTTATTTTTTGTTATTAGAGACTTCGTGCATTCTGCATTATACCAAAGGCCAAATAAATTATTTTCCTTAGCCCTAACGGAACTGAGATGTCTTTTAAACGCTAGGATGAGACACGTATTTTTATGTGCAAAATTGATAGGCATGGGAGATAAGTACAAATTACGCTAAGAAAAGCAACGCGAACCTATATTTTTTGGACCAAAAAATACTGTCCTAATAACTTTTCTTTAATTCTAGCAAGGTTTCGTTTAAAAAATCAACTTTCTAAAGTCTGTATCTCGAAAAAGGCTATCATTGTCGCCTATGGGGAAATTAATTGTTTATTTCAATCTGTAATGTTGAGTTACAAATCGAGTTCCCGTTTAGTATTAGTAGGATTTTTACGGAATTACAGATTAAGAAAATTACATTAATAACTGTATTTACAACAGTATGTAGTTGATTTTGTATCGTCCCGCCGGCGGCTGATGTAGTATATATTGGGTATGACGAAAATTGCAAACGTTTAGAATTGAAGAAATTTAAATTATCTTACTTGGCACCTGATTTCTTAAAAATATCCGCCCATTCAGTAGCATTGAAAAATTCTGCTGTAAAATCTGGTGCAAAATCGGCATAAGTGTAATTAGATCTGTAATTCTTCTTCATAAACGCTTTAGTTTCTATCTTGTGTTTTGCTTCCTTTCCTTTCCATCTCCACCAAAACCATTCAGAACCGAAACTGGGCACCGAAAACACGCCCCAGTGAATAAATATTCCTATTTTAGCTTCATCAAACCATTTTGGTAAAGGTCTTTTATCAAGTGCTTCCCAATCTGGTGGGTATCTATAACCATCTGGTGATGAACTTTCAGTAGGTTCGTTTTGCTGTGGTAGAACCTCTTGGATTATATTTTGAACATGTTGTTTAATGCCAAGAGGGTTCTGGATTACATTTTGAAAATGTTGTTTAATGTCAAATTGTTTCTTTTTTGTATTATCTACTACTTGAAAAGGATTGTCATATTCATAGCTATCAGATAATTCTGAATTTTTTCCTGATGTTAAATAACTTAACAGGAAAACGACAATAAATATACACGAAACTAGTCCTATGCACTTAACAGTAAAATCTCTTTGTCTACGGTTCATTTTATGCATCAAGCAAGAAATTATATCATCAGAATGTCATCTTAATTTGGGTATTGCACATCATACAAACCAAAGCTGTGTTTCGTCGACCGGTTAATTTTCCTCAAAAATTACCTGACGCCATTCCTTTGCTACCAGGTAAGTTTATTATGGGGTTATTATGGTTCAAGAAATGTGTGCATTCGTTGTTTACAATAGTTACTTCCCTTCAACTATTGGTTTCGATGTGTAAGTCTATTCCGGTTTGTATATATATTTTTTTAAAATTCCATAACGAATTACCAATGCCTTGCTCTTGTTGTCTTCTTACAAAAGCCTGGTTAAATAAGTGTCAAAATTGATTTCCGTTCCAACCATTCAATTCAATTCGTTAAATAAGAATGTGACAAATAAAGCAATAAAAAACAGCAAAACCCATCAATTAAAGCATACAGTGAAATATAAAATCTTAGAAAAACAGATCAAGTAAATATATCAAGAGTCCTCTGTCTAAGGGTGCTCAATGCTCTTTAACTTCAAACTTTATTTGACTTTTTTTATCTTTTTCATTCGAGCGTCACTAATGAGCCTTTTGTAGTCGAAACGCACGACTAGAGTAAATAATGTTAAGCCTGGTATCTATGATGAGCTTATCTAAAGTTCGAATGTCTTTCTATATAGAAACAAAGTTTATTTACTTGATATGGTGTTGACGGGACGGATTTTATATATAGTTTATTTTGTTATTTGCTGATGATTTAAAAAGTAAATGCATGTCATAGTTATATATTTCAGTTAAATAAATATCTCTTAGTTTTTCGTTACTTTTACAATTTAATTTAAAAAATAGTTTTTTCTCACGTTCTAGTGAATAACAACTGCGGCGACACATCCCTTGTTCCCTGTACATAACGTTGGCCTACGAAGTTCAACCAAGGCAATAACTTATGTTTAATTTTTTATTTCCATTTAAAAAAGGAGGAGAAGATAGCAAGGAGGCTATCATATCTATAAACGTAAGTGGAGGGAAGACAGATCATGGTCATAAAAACTAATAGTTCACAAAACACTACAGAAAAAATAGATTTAACAACACGAACCCGACCAGAAGTTATAATCTGACTAGTCAATTTTACCTTTAATTCACGTTAAAAAAAAATTTCAACGTTGAGACACATTTTCAAAACATTTACTTATCTGTGACAATGAAATACAATATATATATCAAACAAATACAATAGAGCTGAGCAAATGTGAACATTTGAATTTTTTTAAATTAAAGTATTGCTTCAGTTACACATGAAGTTAACAGACAAGGGAAACTTTTTCCTATGCTGAGTAACTGAATTGTAAAATTTTTTCATATTTTCATGTTTCATACTTTTTATTAAAATTCAAATTTATTTTTATGCTTTCGAAAAAATATGATTTTTTTAGACTCAACATATCGACTTATGTTTTTCAATATAATGAAAAAATTTAGAAACGTTAATCTGTTACAAAAGTCAATATATGTTATATTAGAGGCAACAATAGTTTACCAAAGACACAAATCAAGGTGAATTATCAAAATTAACTGTTTACAAAACTTTTTGAAATACTAAGGATTTTCTTACCAAATAATTGATTATCTAAGCTGTATTTGGCAAAACCTTTCGGAATTTTGGGTCCTCACTGCTCTTCAACTTTGTACTTTATTAAACCATTTTAACTTGTTTTATTCGAACGTCACTGGTGGGTCTTTTGTAAACGAAATGCGCGTCCTCTGGCGTACAAAACAATTAAGCCTGGTATCTATGATGATATAAAAAAGAAGATGTGGTATGATTGCCAATGCGACAAACTCTCCACAAGAGCTCATTTTCAAATACTGGGTTGATATCGCTGCTAGTTGAGGTTTCTTCATCAGCCCATGCAGTAGTAAGCATTTCTGCGTTGACATGAATAATCAAAGATATGGTCATAATTATAAATCAACTGTTTACAAAACTTTGAATGTTTCGAAAAACTGAGGATTTTCTACCCCAGGAAGAGATTACCCAACATCATTTAGCCAAAACCTTTCAGACTTTTGGGTCGTTAATAAAATGTTCTTCAACTTAGTACTTTATTTGGCCTTTCAAACTTTTTTATATTTGAGCGTCACTGATGAGTCTTTTGTAGACGAACTGCGCGTCTGGCGAACACAATTTTAAGCCTGGTATCAATGATGAGGAATGAGATCGGGTGCGTCAACATGGTAATCGTCTCCTGCAAATACACGAATCTATCGCCATGCGGTTCCATTCTCAGTCAAAATGTCACATTCGTGTATATGGTGAATAGGACGCAATCGGTAAATTTACAAATCAGAAGCAGTTAGCTCATTCTGTTTGACACGACTTTTCCTTTTTAAAAATATTTTTTAGTTTTATTTAAAAAATAGATTTAATTTACAAGACAAATTCTCAGAGCTATAATCAAATATATGTTTAGATGTAAATCACGTCAAAATAGTTTCTTATATACTTCCAATGTCTGTTTAAACCTGGACTTCGCCTCAGCTGACATCAATATACTACCTCAATGTACAGGATTTACATGCCATCAGTATATATTATCACTTTATACATTCTCACATTTAATACTTATATGAATATCCGTTATGAAAACGTTTCGACTTGTAATTTTGTCATAACAGAGATATGGTAGAGCGCAATAAGGCGTTAGTTCTTTTAGAAACATATTTGCATTATGTATTATAGATACAATGGGTAAGCGTTGATTCTTGAAAATTACACCCCAGTTCTATTGTTATACTTCAGTTTCTATTTCTGAAACAAGTGTAAATTGAATACATCTATTGTTACGAATAACAATGGATTTTGACCACAGGGTGTGACGAGCGGGGTTTCTGGAAACCCCTGCTTCTACATCCCGTAAACACAGTCCATTGTTATTCATAACAATAGAAATTGATTATTTTTTTTAAAATAGCATGAATATAAGAAATTACATATAGTGTTCACTACAAGTTGTTTCAAGATATTAAAAAACCACATTTTAGGAAATTCCAATGGCGAAAAAAATATTTACCATCTATTTTGAATAAAAAAAATCCTTTAAATATTCCTTTGCTTGAAGGTAGAACTTTTTATCCTAGTCATATGTCTCTTAAAAAAACGGGGATTCTAACTCACGGACCCCCCCCCCCCCCCCCCCACCCCACCCCACCCTTGATTGCCCCCCAAAACGGAGTTCCTAAATATTCAATTTGTATTTTTGTATGTTGTCGGGTTTCTAATCCTTACACACCTATCCCTCAGTATGTCCGAACATGAATGTTTGTTATAATTATTCTTGAGAAGAGGGGGGGGGGGTCTTTTTTTTAAACCGTAACATATAAAATTTTATGATTACCTTCATTAAACTGATACAGGTAAGTACTTTGGGTAATAATATTGCCTTTATCTTTAGTCTCTTCTACCAAATCCAACGCTTGACTCAAAATGTCGTCCGTCTTATACCCGTATATATCGACAAATGCATACAAGGAGCATGATGTATTTTTTTTGTAATAAGAATCACGAAACGGTCAACCTTGACCTGCTGATCCATATTAGCACATGGATTTAACGGGAATATGCAAAACAGCAACTTTGACATTTGTAAAATCTACTCACTTGTCAGTTTGAACGATGATAGCCAATGTAAGGCTACTAGTGGGGTTTCATGTAAAACAAAACAAAAATTCTTATAAATCATGGTTTGATATTGTCAAAAAATATGCTATCCGTTCTTTTTCATTCAATAATCAACGTTAACAAATATAGGGTTTAGCACCGGGTGTAAGTTAGTTATACACCTCGGGATACGGCGTGTCCGGCCGTCGGGGTTTCTTATCCAGACACACCTATCTCTCAGTGTATAACTATTACAGAAAGAGAATGGTTTGTTTTTCATGAATCAACGCTTATTCATTGTGTTTCCAAATTAAACTACTGTGTTGATTTCTTTTCAAAATTAAAGCCTTTTCTTAAGATAAGGAGATTGATCACTAAATTTAGACTAAGTGATCACTCCCTCTTAATTGAAAAGGGGAGATATTTTAAAATCCCAAGAGAGGAACGACTTTGTCATAAATGTAAAATACTAGAGGATGAGAAACATTTTTTACTCTATTGTTATTATAATAAAACACTAATAAATGCCTTTTTTGAACACATATGTACTGAAAATAATAAATTTAAAAATTTAAATGAAGAGGAAAAAATTCATTATTTACTTAATCCATCAACGCCTTTAGAAACAAATAAGTTAGGATCCTTCTTGAAAAAGTCATTAGAACTGAGGGCAGGGGACTCTTAACAGCTTGTTTGTTTTTATAAATTCTGATGCTGTTTTTATTGTGTTTGTTTGATATGTATGTATATATGTTTATTGTGTTAATACATGTTGGTCACAAACTGTAAAGTTTACACGACAATAAAAAAAAAAAAAAAAAAAACTTAATTAGAAAAGCATTGTAAGTGAGTTGAAATAACTATGTTATCATGTTCAACGATGCATTTATAAATCAAAATTCACAATTAATTGGTTCGGGAAATACAAATGTAACATAACACGTCTGTTTTTAAATTATTATGCATCTGAACATTATCCGTAATTTATAAAATAAGACATATTCGAACTTATTTCTAAGTACAAATGTATATATAATAAGTATGTTCCCGAAATTTCTAGCAAGAAACCCAATTCAAGGCACATCACAATTTATTCGCATAGGGATTAGTGATGTAAAGATATCTAGTAAAACAGATGAAATCATACTATATTTGATTTGTAAAACAAAAACGGACAAATTGAATGTAATCATTTTCTTTTCAAATACGTGAAATAGAGAATAAATTGGAAAACCCGCTATTATTACAAAAATATCCACAATAACATACAAAATAAGAAAAAGGAAAACTAGAGAATAGGGACAACAAAGAGAAAACAGGGATTCGAACCTACACCGACAAGTCTCTACTTCAAACTTGACTTTACAATTCATTGATCTAAACCTCACAGCCACCAACTTATACTATACGATTGTCTATAATGTATAAATAAAGGTACAAGCCATGTGTGCCCGTTCTACTGATGTGTATCATATGTTCATTTATATATATAATGATATTTTTTCGTTTGGGCTTGTATTATATTTGCCTTCGGGTTTATATGATCCGTTCATCCTATTTCGATTCT